CAGGGGTAGAGGAGGGTACAGGGGTAGAGGAGGGTACAGGGGTAGAGGAAGGTACAGGGGTAGAGGAGGGTACAGGGGTAGAGGAGGGTGCAGGGGTAGATGAGGGTACAGGGGTAGAGCAGGGTGCAGGGGTAGAGGAGGGTACAAGGGTAGAGCAGGGTGCAGGGGTAGAGCAGGGTGCAGGGGTAGAGGAGGGTACAGGGGTAGAGCAGGGCGCAGAGGTAAAGGAGGGTGCAGGGGTAGAGCAGGGTACATGGGTGGAGCAAGGGGCAAAGTGGGGCAAAGGGGAAGAATCTGGTATGGAGGCAGAGCAGAGCGAAGGGGCAGAATGGAGTGTAGGGGCAAGGCAGGGTACAGAGGCAGAGCAGAGTAAAGAAAAAGGGGAAGAGCTATGTGTAGGGAATAGTGCAGGAGTAAAGCAGGGTACTGAGGCAGAATGTGATGCAGGGACAGAGAGAGTTACAGAGACAGCACACTCTGCAAACAATGCAGAGACAGCACTCTCTGCCAGCGATACAGAGATAACACTCTCTGCGAGCAATACAGAGACAGCACTCTCGGCCACCGATACAGAGACAGCACTCTCTGCCACCGATACAGAGACAGCACACTCTCCCAGCAATACAGAGACAGCACTCTCTGCCACCGATACAGAGACAGCACCCTCTCCCAGCAATACAGAGACAGCACTCTCTGCCACCGATACAGAGACAGCACACTCTCCCAGCAATACAGAGACAGCACTCTCTGCCACCGATACAGAGACAGCACACTCTCCCAGCAATACAGAGACAGCACTCTCTGCCACTGATACAGAGACAGAACACTCTCCCAGCAATACAGAGACAGCACACTCTGCAAGCAATACAGAGACAGCACACTCTGGAAGAAATACAAAGACAGCACACTCTGCAAACAATGCAGAGACAGCACTCTCTGCCAGCGATACAGAGATAGCACTCTCTGCGAGCAATACAGAGACAGCACTCTCTGCCACCGATACAGAGACAGCACTCTCTGCCACCGATACAGAGACAGCACACTCTCCCAGCGATACAGAGACAGCACTCTCTGCCACCGATACAGAGACAGCACCCTCTCCCAGCAATACAGAGACAGCACTCTCTGCCACCGATACAGAGACAGCACACTCTCCCAGCAATACAGAGACAGCACTCTCTGCCACCGATACAGAGACAGCACACTCTCCCAGCAATACAGAGACAGCACTCTCTGCCACCGATACAGAGACAGCACACTCTCCCAGCAATACAGAGACAGCACACTTTGCAAGCAATACAGAGACAGCACTCTCTGCAAGCAATACAGAGATGGCACTCTCTGCAAGCAATACAGAGACAGGACACTCTGCAAGCAATACAGAGACAGCACACTCTGCAAGCAATACAGAGACAGCACTCTCTGCAAGCAATACAGAGATGGCACTCTCTGCAAGCAATACAGAGACAGGACACTCTGCAAGCAATACAGAGACAGCACACTCTGCAAGCAATACAGAGACAGCACTCTCTGCAAGCAATACAGAGATGGCACTCTCTGCAAGCAATACAGAGACAGGACACTCTGCAAGCAATACAGAGACAGCACACTCTGCAAGCAATACAGAGACAGCACTCTCTGCAAGCAATACAGAGATGGCACTCTCTGCAAGCAATACAGAGACAGGACACTCTGCAAGCAATACAGAGACAGCACACTCTGCAAGCAATACAAAGACAGGACACTCTGCCAGCAATAAAGATACAGGACACTGTGAAGGAGATACAGATACAGCACACTCTGCCTTTAAAACAGAGACAGCGCACTCTGCCAGTAATACAGAGACAGCAAAATCTGCTGGTGACACAGAGACAGAACATACTGCAAGTAATACAGCGACAACACATTCTGCCATTAAAACAGAAACAGCACACTCTACAAGCAAGACAGAGACAACACACTATGCAAGTTATACAGAGACAGCACACTCTGACAGCAATACAGAGACAGCACACTCTGCAAGTGATACAGAGACAGCCCATTCTGCCAGCAATACAGAGATAGCACACTCTGCTAGCTATACAGAGACAGCACACTCTGCCAACAATGCAGAGACAGCAAACTCTGCCAACAATACAGAGACAGCCCATTCTGCCAGCAATACAGAGAGAGTACACTCTGCTAGCTATACAGAGACAGCACACTCTGCCAACAATACAGAGACAGCGCTATCTGCAAGGAATACACAGACAGCACACTCTGTCTGCAATACAGAGACAGCAAACTCTGCCAACAATACAGAGACAGCCCATTCTGTCAGCAATACAGAGACAGCACACTCTGCTAGCTATACAGAGACAGCACACTCTGCAGGTGATACAGAGACAGCACCCTCTGCTAGCAATACAGAGACATCTCATTCTGCAAGTGATACAGAGACAGCACACTCTGCCGGCGATACAGTGACAGCACTCTCTGGAAGTAATACAGAGACAGCACACTCTGCAAGCAGTACAGAGACAGGACACTCTGTCAGCAATAAAGATACAGCACACTCTGTAGGAGATACAGAGACAGCACACTCTGCCTTTAAAACAGAGACAGCGCACTCTGCCAGCAATACAGAGACAGCACACTCTGCAGGTGATACAGAGACAGAACATCCTGCACGTAATACAGAGACAGCACACTCTGCTATTAGAACAGAGACAGCACACTCTACAAGCAAGACAGAGACAGCACACTATGCAGGTTGTACAGAGACAGCACACTCTGATAGCAACACAGAGACAGCACACTATGCAGGTTGTACAGAGAAAGCACACTCTGATAGCAACACAGAGACAGCACACACTGGAAGTGATACAGAGAGAGCGCATTCTGCAAGTGATAATGAAACAGCACACTCTGCCAGCAATACAGAGATGTCTTATTTTGCAAGTGATACAGAGACAGCACATTCTGCCAGCAATACAGAGACAGCACACTCTGCCAGCAATATAGAGACAGCACCCTCTTCCTGTGATACAGAGACAGCACACTATGTCAGCAATTCAGAGACAGCACCCTCTGCTACCAATACAGAGGCAGTGTTATCTGCAGGTGATACAGAGACAGCACACCCTACAAGCAATACAGAGACAGTACACTCTGGCATTAATACAGAGACAGCACACTCTGCAAGCAATACAATGAAAGCACACCCTACAAGCAATACAGAGACAGAACCCTCTGCCAGCGATACAGAGACAGCACACTTTGTCAGCGATACAGAGACAGCACCCTCTGCCAGTGATACAGAGACAGCACACTTTGTCAGCGATACAGAGACATCACCCTCTGCCAGTGATACAGAGACAGCACACTTTGTCAGCGATACAGAGACATCACCCTCTGCCAGCGATACAGAGACAGCACTATCTGCCAGTGACACAGAGACAGAACCCTCTGCCAGTGACACAGAGACAGAACCTTCTGCCAGTGATACTGAGATAGCACCCTCTGCCAGTGATAAAGAGACAGCACAATCTGTCAGCAATACAGAGACAGCACACTCTGCCAACAATACAGAGAGAGCGCATTCTGCAAGTGATAATGAAACAGCACACTCTGCCAGCAATACAGAGATGTCTTATTTTGCAAGTGATACAGAGACAGCACATTCTGCCAGCAATACAGAGACAGCACACTCTGCCAGCAATATAGAGACAGCACCCTCTTCCTGTGATACAGAGACAGCACACTATGTCAGCAATTCAGAGACAGCACCCTCTGCTACCAATACAGAGGCAGTGTTATCTGCAGGTGATACAGAGACAGCACACCCTACAAGCAATACAGAGACAGTACACTCTGGCATTAATACAGAGACAGCACACTCTGCAAGCAATACAATGAAAGCACACCCTTCAAGCAATACAGAGACAGAACCCTCTGCCAGCGATACAGAGACAGCACACTTTGTCAGCGATACAGAGACAGCACCCTCTGCCAGTGATACAGAGACAGCACACTTTGTCAGCGATACAGAGACATCACCCTCTGCCAGTGATACAGAGACAGCACACTTTGTCAGCGATACAGAGACATCACCCTCTGCCAGCGATACAGAGACAGCACTATCTGCCAGTGACACAGAGACAGAACCCTCTGCCAGTGACACAGACACAGAACCTTCTGCCAGTGATACTGAGATAGCACCCTCTGCCAGTGATAAAGAGACAGCACAATCTGTCAGCAATACAGAGACAGCACACTCTGCCAACAATACAGAGACAGCCCATTCTGTCAGCAATACAGAGACAGCACACTCTGCCAACAATACAGAAACAGCCCATTCTGTCAGCAGTACAGAGACAGCGCACTCTGCTAGCTATACAGAGACAGCACACTTTGCAGGTGATGCAGAGACAGCACACTCTGCCAGCAATATAGAGACAGCACACTCTTCATGTGATACAGAGACAGCACACTATGTCAGCAATTCAGAGACAGCACCCTCTGCTAGCAATACAGAGACAGCCCATTCTGTCAGCAATACAGAGACAGCACACTCTGCCAACAATACAGAGACAGCCCATTCTGTCAGCAATACAGAGACAGCACACTCTGCTAGCTATACAGAGACAGCACACTCTGCAGGTGATGCAGAGACAGCACACTCTGCCAGCAATATAGAGACAGCACACTCTTCATGTGATAAAGAGACAGCACACTATGTCAGCAATTCAGAGACAGCACCCTCTGCTAGCAATACAGAGGCAGTGTTATCTGCAGGTGATACAGAGACAGCACACCCTACAAGCAATACAGAGACAGCACACTCTGCCAACAATACAGAGACAGCCCATTCTGTCAGCAATACAGAGACAGCACACACTGCCAACAATACAGAGACAGCCCATTCTGTCAGCAATACAGAGACAGCGCACTCTGCTAGCTATACAGAGACAGCACACTCTGCAGGTGATGCAGAGACAGCACACTCTGCCAGCAATATAGAGACAGCACACTCTTCATGTGATAAAGAGACAGCACACTATGTCAGCAATTCAGAGACAGCACCCTCTGCTAGCAATACAGAGGCAGTGTTATCTGCAGGTGATACAGAGACAGCACACCCTACAAGCAATACAGAGACAGCACACTCTGCCAACAATACAGAGACAGCCCATTCTGTCAGCAATACAGAGACAGCACACACTGCCAACAATACAGAGACAGCCCATTCTGTCAGCAATACAGAGACAGCGCACTCTGCTAGCTATACAGAGACAGCACACTCTGCAGGTGATGCAGAGACAGCACACTCTGCCAGCAATATAGAGACAGCACACTCTTCATGTGATACAGAGACAGCACACTATGTCAGCAATTCAGAGACAGCACCCTCTGCTAGCAATACTGAGGCAGTGTTATCTGCAGGTGATACAGAGACAGCACACCCTACAAGCAATACAGAGACAGAACCCTCTGCCAGCGATACAGAGACAGCACACTTTGTCAGCGATACAGAGACATCACCCTCTGCCAGTGATACAGAGAGAGCACACTCTGCCAGCGATACAGAGACAGCACTATCTGCCAGTGACACAGAGACAGCACCCTCTGCCAGTGATACTGAGACAACACCCTCTGCCAGTGATACAGAGACAGCACAATCTGTCAGCAATACAGAGACAGCACACTCTGCCAGTGATACAGAGACAAAACCCTCTGCCAGTGATACAGAGACAGCACTCTCTGCCAGTGATACAGAGACAGCACCCTCTGCCAGCGATAAAGAGACAGTACACTATGCCAGTGATACAGAGACAGCACCCTCTGCCAGCAATACAGAGACAGCACCCTCTGCCAGTGAAACAGAGACAGAACGCTCTGCCAGTGATACAGAGACAGCACACTCTGCCAGTGATACAGAGACAGCACTCTCTGCCAGTGATACAGAGACAGCACCCTCTGCCAGCGATAAAGAGACAGCACACAATGCCAGTGATACAGAGACAGCACTCTCTACCAGCAATACAGAGACAGCACTCTCTGCCAGTGAAACAGAGACAGAACCCTCTGCCAGTGATACAGAGACAGCACCCTCTGCCAGCGATAAAGAGACAGCACACTATGCCGGTGATACAGAGACAGCACTCTCTGCCAGTGATACAGAGACAGCACCCTCTGCCAGCGATAAAGAGACAGCACACTATACCAGTGATACAGAGACAGCACTCTCTGCCAGCAATACAGAGACAGCACCCTCTGCCAGTGATACCAGAACACCATGTATTGAAGGTTCAGTGTTCCCTGTGCCCAGGTCAGATAGCGAGTGAGTATATATTAGAAAGTATATTTACTATTCTATTTATAGGGATGTGCATGGGGAAAAAAATTGGTTCGGTTCGGCGTTCCGAAATTCAGGATTTCCGGACTTCGGCACTTTGGTACTTCGGAACTTCGACACTTCTGAACTTCGGCAACTTCGGACCTTCGGGACATCGGAATTTCGAGACTTCGGATGTTCTCTTGTAGCCGCTTAGTAAATAATTCCCTAATTCCCACGGTATTAGGGAGCTATCTACCAAAAGGCTGAAGACCTAAATTGCCTGTGGCTGCTCACTGTTAAAAAAACAACAACAAAAAACGGGGCCCCCATCCCGAGCCGCCACTTGTGCCACGCGAGTGTGGGCTTTTAAACTGAAGGGGGGACCTATTGCTCCCCGGCCACCACCCCTGAGCGGTGGGTGAGGACCCTAATTACTTTAAAGGGGGGGGACCTATTGTCCTCTCCCATTGCCCCCACCCATGAACTGTGGGTGGGGGCCCTAAATTACATGAAATTACATTACATTGCCTCCCCCCTGCCCCCCAACCCTGAGCGGTGCGTGGGGGCCCTAAATTACTTAAAAAGGGACCTATTGTCCACCTATTGTCCTCCCCTCGGCCACCACCCCTGAGGTGGGGGCCCTAAATAAAAATGCCCACCCCCAGGTGACTAGGGGTCCCCAATCCCCTAGTCACCCCCTCCCAAAAAAATTATTCAAATCCCTACCTATCCCCCTCACCCTAAAAATAGTGAGGGGGAACAATAATTAAGTACCTGTAAAAAAAAAAAAAAGCCAAATAAAAAAAAACATAATATCCGTTGCACTTACAAAAAAAATAAAACCCAGAGCGCAAAAAAAAAAATCCATCTTCACCCATAGAGGGCTCCGTGTAGACTGAGCTCTGCAGGGTGGGGGAAGGCTTATAAAGTCTTGCCCCGCCCTGCAATTAGGCTCAGAGCACTCTGGTTGTCTCTGGTGTCTGAATGCCAGTGTGTGTCTGAATGCCAGTGTATGAATGCCAGTGTGTGTATGCCAGTGTGTGTATGCCAGGTGTATGTGTATGAATGCCAGTGTATGTGTGTGTGTATGCTGGTGTATGAATGACAGTGTATGTGTGTGTATGCCAGTGTCTGAATGCCAGTGTATGTGTGTGTGAATGCCAGTGTCTGAATGCCAGTGTATGTGTATGTATGCCAGTGTGTGTATGCCATTGTGTATGCCAGTGTATGTGTGTGCCAGTGTGTATGCCAGTGTATGAATGCCAGTGTATGCCAGTGTGTGTATGCCAGTGTATGTGTGTATGAATGCCAGTGTATGTGTGTATGTATGCCAGTGTGTGGATGCCAGTGTATGTGTATGTATGTATGCCAGTATATGAATGCCAGTGTATGTGTGTGTGTATGCCAGTGCATGTGTGTATGTGTGTGTGTATGTATGCCAGTGTATGTGTGTGTGTGTGTGCATGCCTGTGTGTGTCTGTATGTATGTATGTATGCCTGTCGGTATGTATGTATATATCAATATGCAGTATGTATATGTATGTTTGTCAGTATGTATGTCTGCTTGTATATGTGTGTGTGTCTCAGCATTTCCCTATGCATGTGTGTATGTCTGTTTCAGTATTTGTATCTGTTAGTGTGTGTGTATTCCTGTGGGCGGGATTTGGAGGCAGGCTTGAAGGGGGGCCCAGACCTTGAGCTGTGTTAGGGGCCCCAAAATTTCTGATGGCGGCCCTGCTGGCAATACAAATGCTGGTATTTTTCTCAGTATAAACAAGAGATTACTATGCAATACCAGCACTGGCCAGTAGGGGCGCTGTGTGTGGAGACAGGCAGGGAAAGGACATTCCAGCATATCTCTCCCTGCCTATCTATACTCACTGAGGGGTGCAGCTACAGAGAGTCCAGACAGCAACTCCCACCCTGCAGAGACAGCCTACAGCTCAGGGAAGTAAGGGATGGGGGGAAGGCTGCAAGGAGACATACACTGGGAGACATTATGGCAGACACTGAGACACTAAGGGACATTGGGAGACATTATGACACAGGCACAGTCTCCCAGTGTCCCCATGTCCCCCAGCCAGTGTCCCTGGTGTCTCAGTGCCCCCTAGTCTCCCAGTGCCCCCAGTCTGCCAGTGTCTCACTGTCCCCATGTCTCCTAGTGCCTCCATGTCTCCCAGTGCCTCAAGTGTCTCAGTGTCCCCATGTCTCCAAGCTAGTGTCCCTAGTGTCTGTGGTCCTGGTGTCTCCTTGTCCCCATGCCTCCCAGTGCCCCCATGTCTCAATGTCCCCATGTCCCCCAGCCAGTGTCTCTAGTGTCTGTGTCCCCGGTGTCTGTGTCCCCATGTCTTCAAGTGTCCCCTATTTTCCCAGTGTCTCCATGCATCCCAGCCAGAGTCCCCTAGTCTCCCAGTGTCACTGGTGTCTCTGTGTCCCTAGGTCTCCCTATGTCCCCAGGTCTTCCTGTCTTCCTAGTGACATGGGGACCCTGGGATAGATGGGGACACAGGGAGACATGGGGCTGTGATACATAGGATCATTGGGAGACGTGGGGACACGACACTAGGGGACACTGGGAGACATGGGGTACTGAGACACTGATACATAGGAACACTGAGACCTGGAGTAATCGACACATGGGGGCACTGGGAGACATGGGGCCACTGGGAGGAATCCATCTACAGCATAATCAAACTAAGTAGTTTTTTGGCATTTGTCATATGTCACTCCTTGTGATTTACATCATGTGATGTCACCCATACATATTTAATTATGCAAATTAGCAAGGGCGGTATGTTTTTCCATGAAAGGTGGCAACCCTAACTACTTTTCACATACCCTTACTTAAGTATGGAAATTTAAGAGGGATGTATGGGAACAAAAACGTGTGTGGACTGGCTGACAATGAATATAGTTAAAGGGACACTAGAGTAACCAGAACAACTACAGCTTATTGAATATGTTCTGGTGAGTAGAATCATTCCCTTCAGGCTTTTTGCTGTAAACACTGTCTTTTCAGAGAAAATGCTGTCTTTACATTACAGCCTAGTGATAACTTCACTGGCCACTCCTTAGATGGCTCTTAGAGATCCTTCCTGGGTCATAGCTGCCTAAAATGCATCCAAACATTCAGCGTCTCCTCCCTCTGCATGGAGACACTGAACTTTCCTCATAGAGATTCATTGATTAAATTCATCTCTATGAGGAGATGCTGATTGGCCAGGGCTGTGTTTGAATCATGCTGGCTCTGCCCCTGATCTGCCTCTTTGTCAGTCTCAGCCAATCCTATGGCTAAGCACTGTGATTGGATCAAGCCACCACTTCTAATGATGTCAGCAGACTGCTTGTTTTTCTGAGTCTAACAACATGCAGAGTTACAGCTTCAGGCTTGAATACAGTTAGATTTTGCTATATTTATGGAGGCATGAGGGGCCCAGGGGGGCTAGATGGTGGTGTTAACACTATAGGGTCATGAATTCATGTTTGTGTTCCTGACCCTATAGTGATCCTTTAAAGTAATGCTGACTTTGGTCCCTCTAACACTGTAGCATGTTCCCTTTCTTCTACACTCACTACATACAGCTTTTCTCTGTCCCAGACTATATACCAGGAGCTTCTGCCTGCTAGTAAGAAGGTAAGGAGACAAGTGGACCAGCGAGTGCTAGGGAACAGTCCTTAGAAAGCGTTGAGTGAGCACATCATTAGGCACATTTATGCCAAGCTCAGGGTGCTGTCTGCATAGTATGCCCTTAGTTGGCCAGCTGCATGATTGGCAGGCAGCCTGACATGCATTCATACCAGGCTGGCCTTCTAATTCTTTGGGCAGACATATCCTCTTTTTGGGCATGTTCGCCCCTTTTGGCAGGTTACGTGATTTGTGTCAGTGGCACACCCTTTTACCGTGCCCATTCACTTCCTGCTTGACTGGACACTGCTGTTAGGGGTTATGGATTTACTTGAAAGATGAAAACATAAATTAGTGAGAGATTAGCCTAGGATATGTGTTTTCTTATAGCTGCTGGTTTCTTTCTCTCCAGCACCATCTCCATCAGATACATGACACTTGGGAGTGTTTTACTGTTTTTGGTCGATATAATTCTGTAATTAGGCCCGTCATAATTGTCAGCACCAGGTCCACTGGGCTCTTAATCTGGCCCTGCCGGCGGCAAACCCCTCCCTCCTTCACCTCTTCGGGTAGTTTATTACCCACTCACCTCCCGGCAACCCGGTCACCTCCCCTGGGACACCCCACTGGGGCTGTTTGCCCAGGTGCGGGTATTTCACATGCGAGTGCCGCACAGCGTGGCCCACATTACCATTGCCTGCGCTGACTGGAATTTTGCTGCGCTTTTCCCGGCGCCCCCTGCGCCCTTAGGGGCGGGCGCGACCAGATTGGTTGCAGGCTGTGGCTTGCAGCTTACCAGTGCTCCCTTGCGGCCATTCCGGAGGGAACACTCGGTAAGCTGACAGCCTTTTTGCTTGTGCCTTGACCTGTCAATCCTAACTTGCCACATAGGTATAGTACAGGCAGATACATATAAACATATATAATTCTGGTTCATTCACAGCCTAGCCGATTGCCACTTGCTCCCACTAGTAATAATTTGATTGGCTTATTGCTAGTAGACCTGATTCAGGTGCTTTGGTTAGTATGCAGACCCCCAAGGATCAGGAGGTTTCCACTCCTACTGCTGCCGATAAGGGCACCAAACACCGCGTGTCCCCTACAACACGTCCAATCTCCCCCCAGGGAGCAACTGAACATCTAGGAGTTCCATTCACTCCTAGATGCAACAATGACCAAATCAGTCACGCAGACCATCTACACGATGGGGGGCGATGGGGGCAATGTCATATAACCTGACCCAATCCATCAGCAACGCCATATTGGCATCTAGCCACAACCCTAGCGGCCTCCGCCCCAAGGCCCAAGATAACAAGCCTGCATCCCACAGTGGTCGCAAGGCTACAGAAAAGACCCGCCATGTGGGCAAGCAAACCTCCAAAACGATTATGACGGACAGGTTGTGCCCTGTCACTAGTGAGGACGTGGGGCTCAAATGCAAACGAGCTACCCGCCGGGCAAAAACGGTGAGGGCATGGAAATGGGCAAAAGCACTAACAGATGTATCCGACTCTGATTCGGACCCTGAGGAGGTATTGAGTGAGTCCGAAGAAATCGGCTCTATTGACTTGGAGAACTCTTCTCCAGATCGCAGCCTGGCAGTAAAACCAGCCAACACTGATAAGGTGGCCGCTGACGATTCCACCATTCTAGACCTGCAGGGTGAACCCCTATTTAACCCGGACGACCTACAACATCCTAGGTCTACCGAATGGTTCCCGGCTGACCATGTGGCCCAATACATAGCGGCCAGGATTAGAAAACCCCTGGATAAAACCACCAGGAATGCCCACACCTGACGGTCCCCGATATGGCTTGTGCCACACTGGAGGTAGACCCAAAAATTGCCCAGTTCCTGGAAAAAGCTGACTGGAAAGCCAAGAAAGGGCTAGATTACTCCCTGCGCCACTGCCAGGACAAGGTGCTTGACTCCTTGGGCCCCAGCGCAAAAATTTTCGACATGGTCGAAGCTGCATTCTCCGATGGCACACCAGTGGACCTCTTGGCTATCTGAGAGTGGGCTCAGCGCTCTATTTGCCTCATCGGCAACTCCAGCACTGCGTTAAGTACAGAGAGGCGTAAAGCGATCCTCATGAATATTGACCCAAAACTAGTCAATATGGCCATATCTGAGCCTGGGCCACAGGCAAAAGGCCTCCTTTTCGGAGACAGTTTCGTAAAGGAGTTGGGCACTTATATGAGCACATTTACAGCTCTGGACAAGGTGCAAACAAATTTAAAGAGAGTGTTCTCTCCAAAGGTTTTTGGGGGGGCTGGCAGACACCGGGGCCGTCTGTCCAGCCGTCCATCACGAGGCTCCTATCGGTGCTACCGAGGCCCCACTACATCGAGGTTCCCACAGACGGAGCCCAGAAACCCCTCACCCTTCTTTCCAGTCAGGTGGGTACTGAGGGCTGATGTGGGCACTGGGGTGGGTACTGGAGGCTGAGGTGGGTACTGGGGGCTGATATGGGCACTGAGGTGGGTACAGGGGCCTGAGGTGGGTACTGGGGGCTGATGTGGGCACTGAGGTGGGTACAGGGGCCTGAGGTGGGTACTGGGGGCTGATGTGGGCACTGGGGTGGGTACTGGGGGCTGAGGTGGGCACTGAGGTGGGTACAGGGGAGCAGAGGTGGGTGCAGGGAGACAGGGGGTGCTGAGCTGAATAAAAATTAGCTTACCTGAGCTGTCTGCCAGGCTGCTGCAGCTCCTTATCCTCGGGTGCTCTTCAGGCAGGGCAGGAAGTGATGTCACTTCCTGGCCCCGCCTCTTCCTCCTCACACAGCACCGCACGGCTGGAGACCTGGCAGCAAGAACTGAATACTCACTGCCAGGTCTCCCTGAGAGAGGGGAAACAGGTGAGGGAGGGAGCGGGTGAGGGGGTAAACCACAGAGTGATATGCTGCAGGGGCCCTGCAGCATATCACTGGAATAACGGGGAAATCATGTTGTTCTGGCTCAAGAGATCTCTGATCTCTGATCTCCTCAGCCAGATCATGGCTGTGCTGCCGGGCCCCTGACTGCCTCGGGCCCTCGGTCCATGACCGATCTGCCCGACCTGTCAGTCCGCCCTTGTTTGAGCCTATCTGTATGTGGCTCTTAACCATGTGAGTGTGGTCCCTATTATCTTCACATTTATGCTACTATTGGACCTTGATATACTTCACTATTGTGTATATCTTTTTATTATATAGGGATTATATTACTGCATATTTCCCCATTGTACATAGGGGTAAGTTTGCTTTTCTCAGCGCTCTACTAAGAGACACCTGTAGTGGTTTGGTCCACCTGGGCTGTTTTCTGTTTTTTTGTATTAGACCTACAAGACGCCTATCTCACCATCCCCATCGCGAAGGAGTGTCATCACCTCCTCCAATTGTTCAATGGAACACAAGGACGTGGAGGTTCTAGTGCCTGCCATTTGGCCTATCATCAGCACCATGGTGCTTTACAAAACTGCTGAATCTGGTGGTGGCACTTCTGCGCAGCAGAGGAGTTCGCATGATCATATATTTGGACGATATGTTGATCATGGCACAGGATGCCCTCTTACTTCAACAACACCTATCTTGGGCGATATCTCTCCTACACAACCTGGGATTCCTAATCAACTGGGAGAAGTCGGTGCTAACCCTCCATAGAATTCGTAGGATTCAATATAGAGGCAGTCCAAGGGACCCTAAGCTTACCGCTCAAAAAGATCAAACCATCAAGAAGGAGATTCGCAGAACGTTGGCTCGCCCAACGCTCACCTTGAGACAACTGGCCAGGATAATTGGACTCCTCTCGGCCTCCATACAAGTGATCTTCCCGGGACCTCTGCATTACAGGGCCCTACAGAGACTAAAAGCCGCTCAGCTACACTCAGGTCACTCCTACTCAGACTCCGTTCCACTCGATCATAGAGCCAAGGAAGAACTCAGTTGGTGGCTGCACCACATGGAAGCGTGGAACGGCAGAGCAATCATCGACACCACTCCAGATTGCATAATAGAATCCAATGCCAGCGGTGGTCATGTGGTCATACCTCCACAGGCGGAAGATGGTCCCAATCGGAAAGGGAACTACACATCAACAGCCTGGAACTCATGGCAGGATCATTCGCTCTGAAAAGCCTCTTAGGACCCACGACACATTGCTCCATCATCTTGAGGATGGACAACATATCTGCGGTACGATACATCAACCGCCTCGGCAGCACCAGGTCCAAAATATTGGCAGATTTAGCAACAGAATTCTGGCAATTTTGCTTGGAGCGCAACATATCAGTATGAGTCGAATACATCCCGGGGCTCTCGAATACCGTAGCGGATTGGAACTCCAGACACCTGCGGGATGCCAGCGACTGGCGCCTGGACCGCGGAGTGTTCCTACGGCTACAAACGCTTTGGGGCCCGACATACATAGACCTGTTTGCGTCTCGATTGAATATGCAACTCCCAGAGTTCTTCAGCTGGAGACCAGATCTGGAGGCTTTAGCTACGGACGCATTTCTACAACCATGGCTGAACAGACGACTGTACGCATTCCCTTCATTCATGGAGATGTCTATAGACCTTCCCATACTGCTTCCTGAGAATCCACATCTCCTTTCAGACCCCGAAGGGAACCCACATCCACTGATGATGCAGGGCCAACTCAAGTTGTTAGCATGGCTCCCTTCCGGGGACCCTGGGTCATGCCAGACGTTCCACAATCAACTCTCGAACTACTGGCGGGAGCCTGGGCTCCAGGAACAAGGAGATCCTACAGTCGGGCTTGGAACTCATGGAGTGGTTGGTGCATGGAACAACAAGTGGATCCCGTATGTGCCCCTGTGAACTACTTGTTACGTTTTCTTACACTTCTATACGACCAAGGTCTAGCGTACCGGACTATTAATGTCTACAGATCAGCGATCTCCGCTGGACACAAGGGTCTAGAAGGATCCCCAGCAGGTAAACACCTCCTGGTATGCAGTTTCTTATGTGGCGTTAGATTTGCAAGACCCCCACAACCTCGATATACATCAGTATGGGACATGAACCTAGTCTTAACCTTTTAGAAAAATGGTCACAGAACTCAAATCTCACACTTTAACAACTATCAGCAAAATTGGCCATGCTCTTCTGCCTGATATCATGCAAAAGAGTTTCAGATGTCTGAGCATTGGATGTTGATGCACGCTCATTTACCCCAACGGGAGTGACATTCAACATTTACAGACGTACTAAATCAACAATCTCATCAGTGTCATACCCATCATTCTCTCACAATGCAAACCTATGTCCAGTGGCCTGTCTCAAAGAATACAAGAAATGGACACTGGCATTTCGAAACCCTAGACATCATGAATTGTTTCTGGCTATTAACACGCCACACCAACCAGTATCTATGGTAACAATAGCCCGATGGGTGATATGGATAATGACCTCTGCGAATATAGATACCTCCATATAGGGGGCACACTCCACTAGAGGAGCCATGGCGTCTAAGGCATTTGCTTTGGGATGCAGATTAGAAGATCTTTTGGGAACGGCAGACTGGTCCCGCTAATCCACCTTCAAGGAATATTATTTTCATCCTACAGACCATGCATCATCGACAGTTATTGCACAGCTTTAAACTAGCATAATATGAGCCTCCGTGTCCTTTAATAAAATTACCAGATTTTACTAATTACATGACGTAAAGTCATGATTTTATAAAGGACACGGAGGCGAATATTAGCCCACCTGGTAAGTATCTCATTTTCTACCAGCTAAAAGAAAAGAATTTAATTCCCACCCCGGTAAGTCTTAGAATTGAGAGTCATCGTTGGGTTTTGTCTAGATTCAATTCGGTTAGGTATGACGTTAATATATTGCATACAGTAGCAACTACGGCATGTAATTTAGTCTGTAGACAATAACACGTATAGTACGAATTATCCAGTATCACCATGACAAATAGTCTCTAGACCACATTTTACCATTTCCTTTCTCTATCCCAAGCTGGAATCAGTTGTATCCCCATCATTGAAATGTGTTTTGGATTACTATTATGAACCGCTTGATCTATTTAAAGACCTGAGCAGAACACTTAAAATGAGGTTCAGAGAACAGAGATGTGCAATATTACACAATGATAAAAAATTCCCAGTAGCGAGACATTTTCAATTGGTTCATAATAGTAATCCAAAACACATTTCATTGATGGGGATACAACTGATTCCAGCTTGGGAAAGAGAAAGGAAATGGTAAAATGTGGTCTAGAGACTATTTGTCATGGTGATACTGGATAATTCGTACTATACGTGTTATTGTCTACAGACTAAATTACATGCCGTAGTTGCTACTGTATGCAATATATTAACGTCATACCTAACCGAATTGAATCTAGACAAAACCCAACGATGACTCTCAATTCTAAGACTTACCGGGGTGGGAATTAAATTATTTTCTCCTATATTTTAAATAGGAGAAAAGCCCTCATCACGGCAGAAACAAATTGGATCTTTAAATTAAATACCCTTAACCCATATGGGCTGAATGAAGATTTGGAACAGATTACTTAGTAACCCTTTTCTCTTTATGTATTATTTGTTATTCATTATTTATTATTTTTTATTTTATTCCAAATGGTGCTTTATACGTTTTCAGAAACCCTTTGTTGGTCCCTAATAGATATGGATAGGGGTGGCTCTTATCAGATTACTAGTCCAGTCATCATCTCTATCTACATATGCATGTATGCACATCTGTAGTATATGGACACCCTTAACCAATAATAATTAATATAATTATACTAATGGAGACTGGGATTGGAATTTCATTGTTCCTTCATACTATATACTGACCATTTCCTGAAAATTCCCTACTCTTTGGGTGATTTGATAAGTTAGTAAGAATCCAATTACATTTCATATCTAGTGTGTTTTAACAGGATTTGTATTACCCTTTTTTGGGGTTAAATAGGGGTTCTGGGTCTAATTATATTATATTATTTGGGCTCTAATTTTAATGATCTAATCAGTGATCTATTTCATTTGGTTTTAATTTTTTTTTTTTATTTATAGGGCTAATTGAAGAATTATCAGTTCAAGTGTTTATTACTATCATCATTAAGTGATGTGTATTTATATAATTGTATGTTGTCACTTTAAGAACAGATTTTTCATTTAAGATGAGGTCATGGGTTAATCCTATGGTCATGCCTGAGTATCGGTATATATACCGATTAGAAACTTGAAGGATTATAGTCTTGATAAAGTCTTCTATCAAGATGAAACGCGTAGACTTCTTCATTCATCACTCTCAAGGTTCCAGCACTTATTATTGTGACCTTGAAAATGGCACCGTCACTGACTCTTTGCCGAAAACCTACAATATTTTTTTCAACATCGGGCGGGTGGATCTGCGTGCTCCCCTACCCGGCTTTTGGCGCGGCGAACAGGGTAAGTCCCTCTGGGTTACTCCCAGAGCTTTTTCAGGCTTGGGAACATACTCCGTATACCCCTAGCTCTGCTGTATTAGCCGGGAGGGTTTTAGAGCTCCATATCCCCCCCCCCCTTCCCCCTCTTGATGATTGCATACATTCACTTTTATTTTTTATAGAATTTCGTCTCATTCAGGGATATTGTATTTTTATTTTTATTATTTACTTGCCATTGCTCCAGTGAAGCGGCCCCTCACTGGAGCCACATGGACATTTTCCCTGGAACCTGTATATCTTACATATTATTTATTGTTGTTGTATTTTTACAAATTCAAAGTCCATTAAAATTGTATGTCACATATTATTTTTACCTACAGCTGAGCTGGGTGTTGTGTTTTATTGATTTCCTAGTTGCATGTTTCAATGTTATTCTGTAACTACCTAGGAGTTACACTGTATATTCTGGTTATACAGTTCAGTTGATTCAGCTGCTTTTTATGTGCAGACATATAATCAGAGAATAATAGACACGGTTGATATATATTTATGTTATTCTTTAACTTAAAAGTGATGTATTTCTGTAGTTGAGATTATTAGATCTCTTTATGCTGTAACTAATCCTGAGTTTTTTGGAGCACTCACACACGCATGTTTTTCTTTTGTTTCAGAAACGTAACAATGAACAGGCTAAGTAGGCATGTCCAACTGATGGTCATAAGGAGCCTGAGACCCAAGCTGGTTACATTTAAGATGCATCGTAAGTGTGGTTCAGGAGCAAACAAATCTAGTTGCGCCAGCGAATATTAAGCAACTATATGGGCCCTAAAACTTGCTAGCATAACATTTTATCACGATGAGTGAAATGCTTGTCGATTAATGATTTAAAGAAAAAAAAAATAATGCTAGAAAACATGCCTGGCTAACAAGAGTTAAGAAAACAGGCTGGGTATCCAAGAGAACATATTGCAGATTTAAAAAAAAAAAAAAGACAAATGTAGTAGAGGAACACATTGCGAATAGCGAATTGGATAACACGTTTTGGCATTGAATAAACAGGCTGTGTGCCTAACATTAAAGGGACACTCCAGTGCCAGGAAAACAAATCATTTTCCTGGCACTGCAGGTACCCTCTGCCTCCCACCCCCCATCCCATGTTGCTGAATGTCCCTCGGCGGTGGTTTCGGGTCCGCCCACGCTCCTCCCCCGCCAACATCATCCGACGGGGGAGACTGATCGCGCATGTTTTTGTTCAGCGAAGTCTCCAGAGTATAACAGTATCCTCCATGTACAGGTGTTATAGTGTTTTTGAAAGTTACAAGGTCAAATATAAGGCTTGATTTTTCAGTTTTTTCAATTTGCCAGATTGGTTATGTTGCCTTTGAGAGCGTATGGTAGCCCAGGAAAGAAAATTACCCCCATGATGGCATACCACTTGCAAATGAAGACAACCCAAGGTATAGCAAATAGAGTATGTTCAGTCTTTTGTAGTAGCCACTTAGTCACACACACTGACCAAAGTTAGCGTTCTTAAATAGTTTTTTGCATTATTAACACACAAACAAATATAAATTCTACCTTTGGCCAGTGTTTGTGACTAAGTGGCTACTAAAAATAGACTGGACATACCCGATATCAAATACCCTGGGTTGTCTACGTTTCAAAAATATATGGTTTGATGGGGTAAATCACAGTGGCCAGCTTAAAAAAATGTTCCAAATAGGACATGGGTGCATGATGACCTGCTGTGGAAAACTAAAATGAGCACCCTTCAAATAAGGTCTTTTAGGCCCCAGAGAACCCGAGACACCTATACATGGGTATCACTGTACTCAGGAGATGAACACACACTGTGGTGTTCTTTGGCAGTAACCCTTAAAGTACTCAGTGCATGTATTCTTAAATTGCTATGTGTGTCAAAAAAAATCACCAATTATAATTTTTTTTTTTTTATAAATACCCAAAGTTTAATACCTTAGGTTGTCTTCTTTTAAAAAATATATACACGTGAAAGTGCTACTTGTACTTATTGCCCTATAACTTGAAAATAAAAAGCTAAGAACATGTTGACATTGGGTATTTCTAAACCCAGGACAAAATTTAGAAACTATTTAGCCTCCGTCCAGCTCCAAGTCTTCCACTGTACTGCCGCAACCATCGCGACACTGACCAACACACACAGACAGACACACAGAGTAACAGACACAAACTCTCTGACAGACACACACACTCTCACTGACACACACACACACACACACACACACATTCTTGCACACACTCACAAATCATTTTATTTATTATTCCCTACCTTTACGAGCTGATGTGTAGCCTCTCCCTAGTTATAGTAAAAGCTTTAAAATATGAGCCTGCTGCCTTTAATAAAATTCAGGCCAAGTAATCTAAATTATAACCACAGGTGCAGCGGCGTACATACAGCCAGGGGACCCGGCCGCCCTGCAGACCCCTGTAACCGGTTATCCGCCGCCATCATCTTCTGCGGCCCAGCCCGTGCGGCAAACTGCCGAGGCCGCTGTCCATCTGGTGGCCCATGCTGTCAGGGCCACCTGATAGACATGGATTGCTAGGGGGCCCCGTCAGCGCTGGGCGCTTTAACAGCGCGACCGGGCCCCCTCTGATAACATCACAAGATGGGAGGAAGTGACCGCACGTCACTCCTCCCAGCTAACACTGAGAGCCGCGTGGGATGAAGCAGAGGGAGTCAGAGTGGGAACTCTGACTCCCATCCACCTGAGCCACCACTGGACCCCATGGAATGTCACCATCCTGCACCTTAAAGGTAGGAAACAGGAGGGTGACTTAAACATTTTGTGTGTTTGTATGTATGTGTGTCTGTCTGTATGTATGTGTGTGCCTGTCTGTATGTATGTGTGTGTGCTTGTCTGTTTGTATGTCCTCTCTATTGCTGTGTTCTTGGGGGCTGATTGTTGCCGTTTTTAAAGGCAGTCAGAATGCAATGCATAATGTGTCAAAGGCCTTGAGCAAGGCCCCTCTCTGCTGACTCTTCAGCTGCTGTCCCAGAGGCTGTACTGACTATTGAGTAGTAGGTAAGGTACGTAGCACTTTTGTAGTGGATCCAATTATATAGACTCCTGAGTAGTTTGAGTCCATCCAGTGAGAACCGGGATAACCTCCGCCGGTCGAGAGGAGGCAAAACGGGGCTAGGCCTCACAGGTCTAGCTCTTATTTCCTGCGGCTGTGACCCCCAATTTACACTAGGATCCGCCCATTTGAGCCTCTTAGTGTGGGGGAGAAGATGATAATTTGCTTTGTTTGCAAGATTGGCCAAAACAAGATGATTTAACCTCCAATATCAAGAATTAATCAAAGAGCGCTCTCAGTGCACGCCAGATCTGCATGGCGTAATGGTCCCATCTCCGACAATCATGTGTTAATGCTACACTTTCCCTCCTCCCTCATGACACTGGGTGGCAGGCAGGGCCGGTGCAAGGATTTTTGCGGCCGTAGGCAAAATAAAAATTTGCCGCCCCCCCCATGTGACATCACAATGCCCTACCCATATGATCTGCCATATGAACTAATGCCAGTGCTGCACACAGTGTGTGTTTACATTAAAAAGCCTGCAGGGACAGGCTATAGACACCGGATCCACTTCATTAAGCTGCAGTGGTTCTGGGGACTGTAGTGTCCCTTTAATGTGAGGTAAATTATAGATTAGTGTCACTAATAATATACTAGATTGCCTACTTTCAACCAGATGAGGGTGGTGATGGGCTCTGGCTGCAGTTTGGCTCCACTGGTCTAGTGTAGAACAGGATCTGTGGAGGCGGTTTGTAACTGTGGTCACATAATTCAATGTTCTGGGAGAACGGGAAGCAGCTCCATCTTTTGGGGCCCCTTATTACACAGCTCAAGGTCTGGGCCCCAGGGCCTAACTGTGAATATGCCCATAAGGCCCACCCATAAGTCCACCTATATGTTTCACCCATGAGTTCGCTCACAGGGAGTGGAGTGTGTAGGGGATGTGTTATGTGTTATTGTAGAGGATCTAATGTGTGTGCTTATGGAATGTAGTGCATAGGGATATCAGTTTGTGTAGGTGATGCCATGTGTTTGTGTGTAGTGGAAGCAGTGTGTGTTTGTGTATAAGGGATGTATTGTGTGTTTCTGGTTGTGTGTAAGGGATGCATTGTGTGAATCTGTGTTTGTATGCATAAAGGATGCAAGGTGTGTGTCTGTAAGTGTGTGCACTGAGTGTTTTCTTCTCACTGCCCCCCCCTCTGTGTTGTTCTCACCCCCTCTCCCTGTGTTCTTCTCACTCTCCCCCCTCTGTTCTTCTCACTCCCCCGTGTTCTCCTCACCTCCCCCCTCCCCGTGTTCTCCTCATCTCCCCTTCTCCTCACCCCATGTTCTTCTTACTCCTCCACCCTCCTCCCTGTCTTTTTCTTACTCCCCCTCCCCTCTTCTTCTTACTCCCCCTCACCCCCTTCTTCTTACCCAGTGTGGCGAAACCAACCTCGCCACTGTACACTGGAGAAGCCTGGTTGCTCGCCTGCTGCCTTTGGACTATGGCCCCATGTTAAGACATCTTTTTCCCTGCAGAAAAGACTTATTCGTGCTTTTCTGCCGGGTGTTAGGTAGATTCAATCTACCGCACAACCGCACGAATGAATAGACCACCTGGGAGTTGGAGTGTGCCGGCAATTAACCTCCCTGAAGCTGCTTAATTGACGAATGCTGGGTGGCCGCCATCCGTATCACGAACACGAGGTCGCGGCCATTTTAAACATGCGAATGCACAGCGGTGTTCGACGCTTAATTCACGGAACTGAAATCGGACACAGTTTTGCGTGAACACCGCTGAAGCCGCCGACCTCCCTTCTTGTTCAGTGAAAGTGCACGAACGGCCCGGTGTTCGGTAGTTTTGTTTGAGTGTGTTGTACCCCAGATAGGAATCCCATGGAGCCCATTCGCATGAAACTGACTGTGTAAAGACTTTGGCTCCATGGCGATTAAACTGTATTCGTGTGGTCTGAGCGCCATTCGCTTAATAATGTGCGCTCAGACCTGAGCTATCTGGGGATATGTAGAACGTATATGTTTTATGTACTGAATGTAACTGTAGGTAATTTTATGTCTTTTACTGTTTGTTTTCTGCCATGTGGTTAATGGAGTTTTGCCTCTGTCTTTGGAGATAATTGAGAAGTAATTCAATTATCTCCAGAGCAGAGAGGAGGGATTGTGATGTATGTCTGTGATTGGCTAAGAGCCAATATGTTTCCCAGTTTCCCATTTGGTCCCCTGGGGGAGTGTCCACCAGGTGGGAGACCTGCATAAAAGCCGGGCAGTTAGCCCCAGTAAACCAGTTCCTGCTTTACCCTCAAAACGAAGTGTTGTCTCGTTATTGGGGGAATTGGATTGTATGCTGACTGCCAGGAGTGTAACCCTTTCGTATGGTTTTCCTGTTCGGATATTTCCAGTGTTCATGTGTTTCCAGTTCGGGAGATCGGTGCTTACAGTAGCTGTCGGTGTAGCTGAGAAAGGGGAATATCGCCTAAACGGTTTTTAACCTCTGGTGAGCAAAACGGACCATTACACCCCCTCTTCTTCTTACTTCCCCCTCCCCTCTTCTTCTTACTCCCCCTAACCCCCTTCTTCTTACTCCTCCTAACCCCCTTCTTCTTACTCCCCCTTCCCTCTTTTTCTTACTCCCCCTACCCTCTTCTTCTTACTCCCTCCCCCTTCATCTTATGCCCCCCTGTTTTCTTCTTACTCCCCTCCTCCCCCGTTTTCTTCTTACTCCACCCCTTCCCTAGTTCTTCTTACTCCTCCCCTCCCTGTGTTCTCCTCACCTCCCCTTCCCTGTAGCGTGGCCGAGCTCCTCTCCGGTCCGCGGTACAGGAGTTTCTGTTTCCTGTACCCGGCTGGACTGACAGGAAGTGCACACTGAGTGTGCACTTCCTATCAGTCCGGCCGGGTCACGGAACGGAGAGGAGCTCGGCCACGCTACAGGAAGGGGAGGTGAGGAGAGCGCTCAGGTGGCTGCAGCATTTAAAGGGCCGGCGATGGCGGCTGTCTATAGAGCGCTCAGTTGGCTGAAGCATTTAAAGGGCCGATGATGGTGGCGCAGGGTGCCCCCTCCTATATGGCGCCCTAGGCGGCTGCCTAGTTCGCCTTATAGGAAGCGCCAGCCCTGGTGGCAGGGGTAGTCTGTTGTGTAATCGGGAGGACTGAGATAAAATTGGGTAATATGTGGACAGACAAAGTGCCTGGGGTGCCCAATTTATTATTTATATAGCCAGTAAGAAGAGAGCTGTGTTTCATTTGCAAAAAGCAGGTAAGCAAAGGTATTACCTCTCTATTGCCTTTAGTGAAGAAGTAGTTGTCCTGACATCTGGAATCCATTAAAAAGACTAAAATCCAATAATAAATTCTAATAATAAAACCCCTAGTTTAGGGGTAGTTATGGTAAGAGTATGTAAAGTGATGTTTAAAACTAGTAGACTTAACGGTTTATTTACGAAATTGTGAATTCAAAGTGAATTTCAAAATAACTAGGCTTCCAGTTTGACTACTGTGACCTAAAGTTTTTTAGTGTGGGTTTAGACTTAAAGGAACACCGTAGGGTCAGGAACACAAACATGTATTCCTGGCCCTATAGTGTTAAAACCACCATCTAGCCCCCCTGGTTCCCCCTTGCCTCCCTAAATATAGTAAAATCTTACTTGTATTCAAGTCTACAGCTGCTGGCTCTGCCCCTGTCTGCCTCTGAACGGACTGTGTCTGCTGACATCATCAAAAGTGCTGGTCTGAGCCAATCACAAAATAGGATTGGCTGAGACTGTCAAGGAGGCAGATCAGGGGCAGAGCCAGCAAGAATCAAACACAGCCCTGACCAATCAGCATGTCCTCAAAGAGATGAACAAAATCCATGCATCTCTATGAGGAAAGATCAGTGTCTGTATGCAGAGGGTGGAGACTCTGAATGGCAGTGCTGCTCACTCTGCATCACTGCCCCAAGAAGCACCTCTAGTAGCCATCTGAGGAGTGGCCAATTGAGTTATCACTAGGCTGTAATGTAAACACTGCATTTTCTCTAAAAAGACAGTGTTTACAGCACAAATCCTGAAGAGAATGATTATACTCACCAGAACAAATGCAATAAGATGTAGTTGTTCTGGTGACTATAAGAATAATAATAATTTGCAATATTTATAGCGCTTTTCTCCCTGTGAGACTCAAAGCACTTTACAAATATACAAACATAAAGACATAAAGTTAGGACTTTTTTTACTTTTTTTACAACTATAGTGTCCATTTGAGATAAAGTTTAGAGCTATTGCTGATAGTCTTGTTAATTTATGTTCACCATTTATGACCTATCCTCCATATCTTTAAATCTCAAATACTTTCTCCTCTGTTTATTTAGTTTTCCTCATTAACTGCAATTTCTCACCTCAATATCTGTGTCTTCCCAACCTTTAAATTGCTGTTTGATCTAACCCAGACTCTCTTTTGCAGCCTGAGTCCCACACACACCAACATATAGCTCCCAAGACTCTCAGCTGCAAGCCTCATGCAGAGGTAGCTCTCTTGGATGGCTTCCTGCCCACCCCTCCCCACACCACCCCAAGTTTCTCATTACATTTATAGATAGGAAAAATTACCTGACAGTCTAAACACACTATGTTTCTCAAACACTCATCACCTCCTGGCCTTTTAACCCCTCACACCTCTCTTGTAACTCTAATATACAATCATATTTAATTCTGCATTACTGAAATTCCTACTCCCCTTCTATAAAATATAAAATCTTTCATTCTTCTTATAAAATGTCCTCCCTCGTATTCTTTATCTTCACCATCACTTCTGTCATTGTCAATAAATCATCAACATACTGGAGGAGGACCACATCTGGGTGAGATTTCTGCCAGGGTTCAAGGACAGTAGACATGGATTTGGCAAATTGTGTTGGAGAGTTTTGTGCACCTTGAGGCATGACAGTCCATGTATATTGCTGATGGTCATGTGTAAAAAGCAAAGAGATACTGACATGAGGGATCCAGGGGCACACTGAAGAAGGCATTTGCAAGGTCTACCACTGTGAAGAATTTGGCAGTTGAAGGCACTTGTGACAACAAGGTGTGTGGATTTGGAACGACTGCCGTGTCCCGTTTGGTAACCTCATTGACAGCACGGAGATCCTGGACCATGTGGTATTGGTCTGGTTGGCCCTTTACAGTTTTCTTCTTGACAGGAAACAGGGGAGTGTTGCACTGGGAAACACATTTGATTAAAGCACCTTTTGCAACCAGACTTTCAACAGAGATGGCAAGAGCTTGTGCATGTTTCAATGGGTACTGTGGCCGTCGTGGTGGGGTAGCACCTTCAATGAGTGTAACTATCACAGGTGGGACCCGGAGGCGGCCAATATCATCCGGGCCTGTAGACCAAAGTTTATTTGGGACCGTATCAGCGCACTGGGGTATGCGTGGACCCTTGTTTCCTCTGTGGGGGATGTCATGTGCATGAGTAGGGGCAAAGAACAGAGATGTCTTACGAGAAAGTTGGGTAAGTAATTGTACCTGACCATCAGCGGTGAAGGAGACAGATGCCTGAAGATGAGACAATACATCAGCTCCTAAGAGGTTAATGGGACAAGTGGATGAAACAACGAACCGGGAGAGAATGTTAGACCCAACTCGCAAGAGTTTAGTTAATGGGTTGTTACGGGGGGGTACCATGAACGCCCACACAAGAAACATCGAGGTCAGATAAGTAAGAAGGATCTGGCAGGTCTTATTCCCTGAGGACACTGCGTGCTGCACCTGTGTCAACTAGAAAGGTAGTAGGATGACCCTCAACTGGTAATACTGGTAGCTAAGGACCCCCCTTTGTCCCCTGCAGACACTGCCATAACAGAGGTGTCAGACACAGGTTTGCTGGTTACTTATTGTACGAGATCTAGATAGGATTGATCAGGGCCATTTTAATGACGTGTAGTAGGGTGACTTGATTGATGACCTTGACGGGCAGGACGATAATGATTGGATGTTGGGTGATCAGTTTGCTGAAAGTCATCTGAATCATAATTAACTGGGGGAGGGTGTGCATTAAATTGATTAGGTTGATAAGTAGTTTGGGAATAATCTTGTGGTGGGTCGTATGGTGCTTGCGGCTGTGGGTGCGTCTGTGGAGGAGAACGATGTTGAGGACTCCCATATGTAGCTGTATGAGTGTTGGGGTGCATTGGAGGTCTGCTGAGTGGCGGGCGAAATACCCGTGGGTGTGGGAAATCCCTGCGGAAATTACCTGGTAGGGTACAATTAAAGCATACCCTGGCCGGAGGTCTAGGTACTGGGGACTGTCCCTGAGTAGCTGGCATGATAGCCAATGTGGGAGGATTCTGGGGCCCCAAGGCGGGTCTGGAAGTAGGGCTGAAAGTGGAAAACATGAGTGGATTACTTCTCTTCTGTGATGGCTGCAGAACTGATTCTAAACCCTTTGCTACCAACAAGCGAGTATCCAAAGGAATAATTCTGTATTTGGGACGTGCAAGTACTAAGCCTTTCCTAATGGTCTCCTTAAGACCAGCCACAAAGGAGGCTGACAACATCTGGGTATGTGCTTTGTTATATACACTGAAACCAAGATCAAAAAATGTTTGGGTTAACCTGGAGTGATATTTTTCTACTGACTCAAGTTTGTCTTGTATGATATAATTAATGCAAGTGTCCTGGTCAGCCAGTTTGTCCTGGGCCCAGGCCCTGAGTTGCTCACAGAAAACAATGCCTGACTGAAAATCCATATCATTGGTGAGGACAGCATCATTAAAACTCCTTTCCATAATTGGCCAGTAGGCATCCCCAGCCTTGATCTCACATAAACTGTACAAATCACGCCAAGCTGCTGAATACGTTTTACGAATCTGAGAAATTCTTCAGAAAAAGGGCATGGGTTGTTTTTCTGGATCGGGGAGAGAAGTTACCAGGGTCGCAGCTTGAGATGGGTTAAATGTAACATACATTGGCTGGGCACCTTCCACTGCTGACGAGGCAGGGAGGTGAGTATCTGCAATGGCCTGTCTCTGGGAAAATCTGTTATTTGAGGGACGGAATGGGCTAAGCTCTGGCACATTGTTGTTCCCGGGTGGGACTGGGGGACCATGGTAACTAACAACATCAAATGAGTTGGGGGCTGGAGCCATCGGGGCGTTGGAACCGGGAGGACCAACAGCGATGGTCTGGGGGGTGACTAACTGAGACATAGTGGGATGGAAACCTGAGGCAGCGGGAGAAGCGTCGGCAGCCTGAGGTTGTCCCGACGTGCCAGACTCATTTGTCCCAACAGTCATGAGTGGGTAACTGGGGGTGTTTATTGGAGGGGCAGGGATGGGGGTTGGAGCGGGTGAAGGTGTGGGTTGAATAAGCTGAGACAGGTGATTGGAGAGAGAGGAGATGAGTGACGTGAGATCATGGGAGGAGACACCAGGGTTGGAGGTAGGAGGGGAAGGAGAATCCGGAACAGAAACAGGAAGAGCAGGTTGGGGAGAAGGAGGAGGAGAAATAGGCGGGGTAGTGAACTAGGCTAGAAGGACGGAAATAAGTGACGTAACGTTGGTATCAGGGGAAGGGGGAGAAGGAGGTTCTGACATGGGGGCTGCAGAGATGGGAGGAGATGGAACAGTGAGAGTGGAGGCAGGGGCGAGGAAAGTAGAGAGGGTGGAGATAAGGGACGGAAGATCACGAGGAGGGGAGGGGGGATCTGAAATGGGGCAGGAGGAGTAGGAAGGGGTGGAGAATTAGGAGTGGAAGTAGAGGCAAAGAGGGCAGATGAAAAGTCAAGGGGGGGTGAGAATACGGGAAGAGAAGGTTCTGGAATAGGAGCAGGAGGAATGGAGAGGGGTTGGGAAGTAGGAGTGGAGGTAGAAGTGAGCGAAGTGGCGAGGTCTGAAACGAGAGAGGAAAGATTGGGGGAAGGAGAGAATACAGGAGGTGAAGGTTCTGGAATAGGAGCAGGGGGAGGGGAAAGGGGTAGAGAAGTAGGAGTGGGGGTAGGAGTGAGTACAGTGGTGAGGGCTGAGACGAGAGAGGAAAGATCGGGGAGGAGAGGATACAGGAGGTGGAGAAGGCTCTGGAACAGGAGCAGGGGGAGTGGAAAGGGGTAGAGAAGTAGGAGTGGGGGTAGGAGTGAGCACAGTGGTGAGGGCTGAGATGAGAGAGGAAAGATCGATAGAGGGAGAAGGGAGGGGATTGGAAATGGGAAGGGGAGAGGAGTCTTGGACAGGGATCGGAGGGGCAGCAGAGAGTGGGGAAATCGGGGCTGGAGTGGCAGGAACAATAGGGGGAGGAATCGTGGGTACACCAGGGGACATCGTGGATGATGGCAATGAGGAAACCGGGGCAGAAGGAACAACAGGGAGAAGGGCCAGTGAGGTCTCGGAAGAAATAATGCATGTTGGGAGAGTGGGAACAGGGATTGGAACAATGGGAGGTATGGTAGTGAGTGATAAGGAGAAGGCAACATCGGGAGGGGGAATAGGGAAAGATAGTGATGATGGGGCGACATCAGTAATGACATGTGGTAGTGAAGGAGAGGAGACATGAGCAAGAAGTGGGGAGGGAACGGAAATAACAGGTGATATGGCTGATGGTGATGGGAGAGGGAAAGGATAATAGTAGGATCCGTCCACCCCGAGGACAGGGTACAGAGGGGTGGGAGGCCCTTTGGCAACGGGAGGTAGAACAATGGGGGGCGGAGATGGGGCAGTGTTTGAGGAGGAGGGACATGGTTCGTTTGTGGTATTCTGGGCACCATCATAGGGTGGTGGCTGGGGAACAACAGTGGATGAATCATCATCATTGCAAACATTTCTGTAATACACATAAATTGCTTGTCCTCCAAAATCAATTTCCTCTTCTGACCAACCCTCCCATTTGAGTCCTCTGGCTACACGATACCAAGCCTTTTGTCAACCCATTATCCAGTAATATACCCTCTTTATCAATGAGCAATTTTCTCCAAAACTCTGGCTGTAACCTACCACTGGGTGACATTTGGAAACCACAAACCTTCGCTATCTTTTTCATCTTTAACATAGCTTCCTCTCCTGCTCTTTCTTTAACAGTATCACAAGCTAAGAGACCCTTGGGTGTCTAGCATATTCCTGTCCCATATTTATCAAACAAGGTTCTTCCTGTAAGAGGGACAGAGATAGAGAGAGGAAAAAGAGAAGGAATGTCTACAGTGCTCGACTGCCACGAGGAATTAATTCCTGTGCGTCTTCCCAAAATGTAGACTAGTCACGGGATCCGCCCACCCGAGATGGTGGCCACGGATCTGTGCGGGCGAGCGTGGGTGACTAACACAGCTCTGGGCAACAAGTACAAAAGAGGTAGAGAATTGAGGAGAAAGTGAACGTAGAGAGACTAATCAATAAATATTTGCAAGAATCACAAATACAGAGATGTGCACATAATACGGAATAGAGTACGAACCACACAACACACACACGCAATGAGGGTACCCACACTATGGCCACAACTGAACAAGGAACAATAAAAGTGTGAACATAGCAATGGTTAAATAGTAAATAAACTCTGTTCTGCTTCGAACAGTGCAACACAATTCACAGCCTTTCTTTAGGCTATCCCCAGCCCTTCACGGGGTGGACAACAAAAACCCCAACCCTTTACCGGGTGGTCAACAAAATCCCAGCCCTTTACCAGGCGGTCGCATCCCCTGCCCGCTAGGCAGTCAAGCAATAACAGTAAATGCGTTCCCTGCCTGCAAGGCAGTCAAGCTATAACAATAAATGCATTGTCTGCCCGCTAGGCAGTCAAGCTATAACAATAAATGCATTCCCTGCCCGCTAGGCAGTCAAGCTATAACAATAAATGCAAACCACACACCCGCCATCACACACACAACTTTCAGGAGGCAGACAATCGACAGGTTCGTTAAAAAAAAAAGGCACCGGATAAGAGAATACCTGTCTTGTAGCCTTCTGGAAGCCGGAAGTGGACACGGAGACAGACCGACACAAAACAGGAGAATACAGGCAAACTGCTGTATTAGGAGGTGATCAGGCTCCGGTTGTCCCACTTTCTGGAGGTCCGTCCCACTTTCCGGAGGTCCGCCCCACATTGGGCGCCAAATGATGTGGAAATCAATCAATAAGTTGATTATCTTGTGTATCTGCCCCTGGCCAAATTAAAGAAATAATGCGTGCACGCTCCTGAAGTAATTCACACCAGACACAAGTTTTGGGTTAATGAAAAACTTGAGGAATGTTTATTCAGGGGGGACATGTCCCCTATAAAGCAAAATTACATCATAAGCATTGTCAGAGATAACATGAAATAATACATCAGTAATTGGTTAGGTGTTAAGTGGCTCATTTAATGCTCTGCCTACTGAGTGTGATGTCATCGGCATCTTAGAAGTCTCCCCCAGATTCCAGTGCCATCTTGTTAATGAGGGTGTTAGTGTTAGATGTTAAAGGGGAAACTCCCAAGCGGCCATTTTGGGTAAATCACATAGAAAGTTGAATAATGCTGATTGTAGTTGTTCTGAGTAAATAGACATTTTACTAATATAAATTGGGTTAATATATTTATCCACAACAGCTTTCCCTAATTTATGGTTCTGTCCTTCATTCCTGTTCCGCTGTCTTCTTCCTTGGTGTCCATCTATTGACACCAGGGAATTGTCCCCAAGAAAACACAGCATGAACATAATTAGATGAGGCAGCAGAGCATTTTCTGTGTAGTTATTTTTATTTTATTTTTTTAAATTTGCCAATTTTTATTGCGTTTAGGGTACAAAAGAAAAAGGATGGTGAGGGTTGGGTGAAAGTTGCATATACAGTAGCTTGGTTTACAATTTTGAACATACATGTGGAATCGCATTTGATTATACGAGTGTTTTTGCAATAAACATACATGTGGAATCGCAGTTGATTGTACTCGTGTATTTGTAATAATCTTGGTAGACAGAAAGGGAGGTAATGGGGATAACTGTGGTGTCCAACCTGGTTAGTTTGCGCTATGCATTTTCGCTTCTAATGGTTTCCGATTCTTGCCTTTTTGCTGAGTCAGTCTTTTTTGTATGCATGCATGTTAAATGGCTCTAACTAAGCTTTGTATAATCAATAAGTATTCTGCACTCCTTCGGTTATCCGTGTTCAGTTACTCAGGTATGTGGTCTGTATCAGTGTGTCACCTGGATGTTTATTATCAGTCCGGTACGGGTTAGGTGTGATCGGTGACTCTCGGTTAGCTATCTGGTTGTGTGTTGGATCGTGAGTAGCTGTTGTCAGCGTCTGTGTTTTTCTACTTCCAACTCGTCTAATTTTTTTTTATTGGGCCAGTCCCTTTTCGAATGGTGCGTAGTTATTTTAACAATTAACAATCTTAATAATTATAATATTAATAGTAATGCCCTGTACAGTAATTATACTAATAATAGTAATTATATTAATAATAATTATAATATTAATGCCCTGTGCAGTAATAATAATAATAATAATGCCTTGTGCAGTAATTATAATAATAATAATAATAATAATAATAATGCCTTGTGCAGTAATTATAATAATAATAATGCCCTGTGCAGTAGTAATAATAATAATAATAATGCCTTGTGCAGTAATAATAATAATAATAATAATTCCTTGTGCAGGCCTGTCTCCAGTGACAATCATTGACAAGGCACAGGCTCCGCCCACATGGATATCCGATCCCCACCTGCCACTCAGATCACTCGCTTTTCACGTGCACACTTTAAGAACGTGCCATTAAGCCAATCAACGGTCTCAGTTGGCGTTGGGAAGGCGGTGCCGAGCCGGCTTCAGTCTGTGTGGGCGTGGTTTGATGGAGTCCTGGGAGGGATGCTGTTGTGGGCGTGGCATCGTGTAAGGAATCCTCCACTTACCTTGTTCTTCATTGCTCCCTGCTCCGTGTCACCGAGCGGCCTGTATCAGCAGCACGGACACCCCCGGTAGGTGAGCCGGTAACCCCGGCTGGGCACATTGTGGGTATCTCTGCCCTCCGCTGAGGGAGGGGGCGCTGTCACGTGGGCAGAGTGTGGGCTATTTAAAGTGGTGGGGACACCCCGAGTCAGGTTACCGGCTTCTATCCCGGGACCCCCGGCAGCCATGTACGGTGCGCCCACATTGCACCCACAATGAGCGCCCACATTGCACCCCCAGCCCTGGCTGCCTGTGGGGGGACTTATTCTGGCATTGCATTATGGGAGTTGAAGTCCAAGCACAGCAGGAGGGCCAAGGTTAAACAGCCCTACTCTCTGTTATTACAATCCTCAGAGCTGGGCTGCTCTGCCTGCCACTCACCCTGTGTTATGGACCTGGGATGGGGAGCCAGCCACGCTGTATCATTATTACTATTGGGGACTTTATACTGCCAGGGGGTGATGCATCATTACTATTGGGGACTTTATACTACCAGGGGGTGATGCATCAATTCTATTGGGGACTTTATACTACCAGGGGGTGATGCATCAATTCTATTGGGGACTTTATACTACCAGGGGGTGATGCATCAATTCTATTGGGGACTTTATACTACCAGGGGGTGATGTATCATTGCTATTGGGGACTTTATACTACCAGGGGGTGATGTATCATTGCTATTGGGGACTTTATACTACCAGGGGGTGATGTATTATTGCTATTGGGGACTTTATACTACCAGGGGGTGATGTATCATTGCTATTGGGGACTTTATACTACCAGGGGGTGATGCATCATTGCTATTGGGGACTTTATACTACCAGGGGGTGATGCATCATTGCTATTGGGGACTGTATACTTCCAGAATCAGTACCAGCCTAGGTATTGGCTTAATTGACTGTCCTAGCTGTGTTTTAATTGGTTTTAAAATGTTTTCATTAAACATTGAAAATTGAAATGGAGACTTTAGATTACGTACCTACTCAGTATGCAGAAAGCTGGGGGAAAGCTAAGGTTAGATATACGTACCTAAAGTTCTGCCTTGCAGGTGCACCTATGTTTTATCCTTTGGTGCTTCATCTACCAGGAGCCTGTTTTCTGTCGTGCAGATATGCAAGGGTACAGCATTGAGGCCCATGAAGGATCCTGCATTTTTCTAAAACTACCAGAAGCTGAATTTACTTTTCTTGGTTAAATACTTTATTATAAAACTTTCTGGCAGTTATCCCCAATATTATTCAATTATTCATTCAAAGAATTGCTAGAGATAATTTCCTTATTAATACATGGTGTAGGTTAGTCCTTGCTTAGATCCTACAATTTTGTTCACTGTTGGGATTATTGAGAAAACTGTGAAATGTGGATTTTACTTTTTTTCTGGTAATTCACTTTTCTTTACTGCTATGGAGTTTAGTAAAGAGAGTTATGCACAATACAAAGCCTCCTGTCATGTAATAAAATTGTATTTTAATGAGAAGAACCCCAATAATTGTGGTTCTGTTGAATAAAATTAAAGCATTACTGTCTGGGGAATTTGAGGAATTCAAAAGACTCCCGATGGTGACATCGCCCTTGAGTGTCTGGTGGTCGGGGGCAGGTAAAGGTGAAATTTACTTGCCTGAACCTACCCTTCTTGTGAGTTTGGCCATCTTGTTCCTGCGTGTCCCTGCTGTCTTATCTGCCCGTGCATAAGAGTACATCATTGAGGCCTATAGAAAATCTGACACGACCCTGGGGTTCTTCATAGACAGAGCCAATTCCCTGTACCCCTGTATCTTATAACATTGTGTAAAGCATACATATGTCAAAAAAAGTAGTGGAGAAGATACGGGTTTCGCTGTAAGTCCCGACAGCCATGTTTATCAGGAACTACATTTCGTCTCTGTCAATGTAAATTGGATGGACTTTACAGTGATTATGTTGGTTATGCATTATGAGATGGACACACTACTGCAGTGGTTATGGTCCAAAGAGTATTTGGTATTGTCCTTCCTGTTTGTGTCAAACCATTTTTAAGCCTCTCTGCTGTTGTTGCTTGAATACTATTAACATTACCTGTCCTATCTTTGACTTCAGTGATAGGTTGTGAGTGTTGGTGTAGCTCCTCTCCCAGTAAATTTGATGGAGTAAGTTCACTTTCGCATATCTAAGCTGCAATCAAGGGGTTGGGCTATAGGAGAGACTTTGTCAGACCTCTCAAATTGTTTGACACAAGCAGATGGGATGGTGCCCAAAAACTCTTTGCACAATTATTTCTACAATTAGCTGTTGTGATTATGGTACTCTGTCCATTTTATATTGATGCAGATAAGCCCTACTTTGTTTAGCGTATAGTTATCAAATAAAAAGCATACAATCGCAGTTTTAAATAAAAAATAAAAAAAAGCAAAACAAACTCAAAACTATTAAAATAACATACCATGTAAGATGCAAGTTATTTAAACCTGAAGTAAATTGCATGTTTATATTTTATAAATCCAAAACCTTTTTATGTTCAGTAAACCAGATTATATTTCACTGCTGTATTTATTGTTTTCATGCTGCTTGTTTAATATTATTCATGTGCGTTAAAATGTAGTTTTTTCCTATTTACTTTGCATGAATAAGTGTGTGTGCTTGTATTGGTCATGGAGTACTTACTGTAACTCGTGCATTCTACATTGTATCTGTCAAGCAAGTAGCATTTCCTTTTAGGTGTATAGATGCTCATGCTATGGGGGTCAGTGAGCAGTTCATTGATATTCTGTAGTGCATGTGCAGCAAACCGTTCATGAGTAGACCGGAGGGGACATATAAAAAATGGCAGTCATTTAATATTACATATTCATCTCTGCTAAGATAGGGATCAGTTTAATCCAGTACGTTCCACTATTACTGTAGTATCTGTGGATACGTATTAATGGTGTTCGCTTTAAAAACTAAAAAAAAATTCACTACACATAATACAAAATTGAGCAGGAATTGCAAAATAGATTAATCGATTTTGGCTAAACTCTGTCAAAAGCTAAAATCATGTTGGTGTTTAGTAAGTTACACGTCCAGTAATGCACAAGCTAAACTGAGTGACCTTGGTGAACAATACTTACTATAAAAAAAATCTTATGTATTTCAGCTAAGATAACACAGAAACAAACCATTTTCTGCTGGAAAAACTTGATAGACTAAAATTCAAACTTTTGTGACCAGAAGTCATTTAATTAAATCCCTGGGGCTAAACACAAGTGACCTTGCTGGATTCCTTAACCACAGCCTGAGGTCAGTAAAGCCTGTTCACTAAGCAGGGCTTGGCTATTTGCAGTTGAAAATAGCCCAGCTGGAAAAAACAGATGATTATGAAAATCACATCCTAGGCCTTACTTTTAACTGCCTTTTGGTATGAATATCTCTCCAGTACACAATTAAATTAGGATATAAATGTTTGGACCTGTTGGCTTAATAAAGTAGTAACAAGAAATGTGTAATGTGGGGTGGGAGCGATTGCAGATTTGATGTGTATGATAGTAAAACTTTTTTCCGATTTTAATTGTTCTGACCATTAGCTGCATTTTAGTTGTACTTCCAGTTTCAATACAGTTAATGGTCAGTGACCAGGTTAGCTATTCCTTTGTCTCTACAATTTCCAGTTTGCTTGTTTTGTTTGTTGTTTTGTTTTGTAAATAAACAAACTTAAAAGGACTCTGCAGTTCTCCTCCAGCATATCAGATGACTTAGACAATAGCTGGACTAGCTGTTCTTTCTGGGATAGTCTGACTGCCTTCCAAAGTTTCCTTGAAATACCATGCAGTGTTTGATGGGTAACTAATCTAACCGGAAAAGAATGAGCTAAACCTGTTTCTCAAAGGGTCAATTTCAGGGTGCTTCACTAAATTCCAAATTGTAGCAAACTAAAATCTGAATGGTGACAATGAGGCTACATTATCTGACCTGGGAGGATTTTATTTTGTTTGCTTTTCTTTTTTTTTTAATCCTTAATTTAGTTTATCTTAAAGCAAAACAGCAACAAACTCAGCTTGCTTACTGGGCTAGTGCAGCAAGGCAAGTGTGTGTTGTTGTGTTTTTTTGTTTTTGTTTTTTTTTCGTGCAAAAAGCTCACATTTAGCAGTTCTGCTTTAAAACCCCAAAACCAATGTGCTCTTTTTTTCCTATATAGTTATTCACACTGGCTGTCCCTCTGTGTGAGATGGCAGGTCTAAATCTGAGTTTAGATTAGGATTTTAGACCTGGCATCTGGGATTTGTTAGCACACTCAGCCCCTGAGGTGGTCAGTTGCCTGTGAGTGGAGGAAGGTGGTCGGCCAACTCCTAAATAGACGGCCAGCTGATGGAGAGCATGGGGTGTGCGCACAGGCGGGAGGCTCCTGAAGGATTGAGAAAGACAGGCGCGTGAGGAAGCTGTAACCTCCGTCCCTGCTCTACTCTCTTGTGCGTCCTCCAGTGATGCCGGGAGCCGGAATATGACGTAATTCCGGCCCCGGTATCACTAAAATGCACTCTATGGAGCAGAGCAGGGAGATGACTAAAGCCCCACTGGACCCCAGGGAAAGCCGAACCACTCCAGCTCCAGTTAGGGAGGCTGGGTGGTCACCTTAATGTGTGTTATTGCAGTGACTGTGTGTGTTTAGGTGACCAGTCCCCCTTCCATCACATGGGCAAGGTTTTTACTCACCTTTTTCCCCCCCACGCTGTGCTGTTCTTGCCTTAGCTGGCCTTGCCTCCATGACTGCGATCATCAATCTTGATGATCTCAGCCAATCCAAGGCTTTCCAATAGGAAATAAGTGGTAGAGGTTAACACAGTAAGGGAGTTTAAGCATGCGTGGGATAGGCATAAGGCTATCCTAACTATAAGATAAGGCTAGGGACTAATGAAAGTATTTAGAAAATTGGGCAGACTAGATGGGCTGAATGGTTGTTAACTGCTGTCACATTCTATGTTTCTATAAAGTTGATGCCATTGTAACTGCTAAATAGAAATAAATATAATCACTACACAAAACACAACTTGTAGTACTTTAGAGAACACCATTTTATAAATCCTTTTTCTTACAGATGTAGCCCAACAAATCAAAAACATTGTAACTGAAGACATAGTTAAATAACTAAAAGATAACCAACAAAAAAAATAAGCTGTTAATGTGCTGTTGTCTAGTGGAACCTAGCAACATCCAAAGAGCTCTTCAATTAGCTTGCCAGTTGTTTTCCGTCTAAAACATTTAACAAGGTTGGGTGTGCATTGGTACACTTACACAGGTTAACATGTTTATAGAGGTGATACTCTAAAAATTTGAATATCGTGCAAAAGTTCATTTATTTCAGTAATGCAACGTAAAAGGGGAAACTAACATAGGAGACGCATTACATGCAAAGCAAGATCGTTCAAGCCGTGATTTGTCATAAGTGCAATTATTATGGCTTACAGCTCATGAAAACCCCAAATCCACAATCTCAGTAAATTAGAATATTACATGCAATCAATAAAACACGGAGTGTACATAGAACAATATCGGACCTCTGAAAAGTATAAGCACGCATTTGGACTCAGTACTTGGTTTGGGCTCCTTTTGCAGCAATTACTGCCTCAATGTGGCGTGGCACTGCTGAGGTGTTATGGAAGACCAGGATGCTTAAATAGCGGCCTTCAGCTCTTCTGCATTGTTCGGTCTCATGTCTCTCATCTTACTCTTGGCAATGCCCCATAGATTCTCTATGGCAGGGGTCCTCAAACTGCGGCCCTCCAGATGTTACTGAACTATAACTCCCATGATTCTTTGAATTTCATAGAGAGCCAGAGAATCATGAGAGTTGTAGTTCAGCAACATCTGGGGGGCCGTAGTTTGAGGACCCTTGCTCTATGGGGTTCAGGTCAGACGAGTTTGCTGGCCAATCAAGCACAGTAATGCCACGGTCATTGAACCAGGCTTTTGGCAGTGTGGGCAGGTGCCAAGTCCTGCTGGAAAATGAAGTCCACATCCCCATAAAGCTCATCTGCGGAAGGAAGCATGAAGTGCTCCAAAATCTCCTGGTAGACGTCTTTGTTGACCCTGGACTTAATGAAGCACAGTGGACCAACACCAGCAGATGACATGGCTCCCCAAATCAACACAGACTGTGGAAACTTCACACTGGACTTCAAGCAAATTGCAGTGTGTGCCTCTCCATTCTTCCTCCAGACTCTGGGTCCTTGGTTTCCAAATGAGATGCAAAAGTTGCTCTCATTAGAAAAGAGGACTTTGGACCACTGAGCAACAGACCAGGTCGTTTTTTTCTTTAGCCCAGGTAAGACGCTTCTGACGTTGTTTGTTATTCAGGAGCGGCTTGACAAAAGGAATACGACATCTGAAGCCCATGTCCAGGATCTGTCTGTGTGTGGTGGCTCTTGATGCGCTGACTCCAGCCTCAGTCCACTCCTTGTGAAAGTCCCCAACACATTTGAATGGCCTTTTCCAGACAATCCTCTCCAGGCTGCGGTCATCCCTGCTGCTTGTGCACCTTTTTCTGTCACACTTTTCCCTTCCACATAACTTTCTATTAATGTGCTTTGATACAGCACTTTGGGGTCATCCAACTTCTTTCGCAGTTACCTTTTGAGGCTTTCCCTCCTTACAATGATGGTTTTCTGCACAACTGTCAGGTCAGCAGTCTTCCCCATGATTGTGATTCCTACTGAACCAGACTCTGAGACCATTTAAAGGCTCATAAACCCTCTGCAGGCGTTGTGGCTTACTTAGCTGATTAGAGTGGGACACTGTGAGCCTAGAATATTGCACCTTTTCACAATATTCTAATTTACTGAGGGTTTTCATGATCTGTAAGCTATAATCATCACAGCTTGAACTATCTTGCTTTGCATGTAATGAGTCTATCTCTTATATTAGTTTCACCTTTTACGTTTGTGGCGGAACCAACCTCGCCACTGTGCACTGGAGAAGCCTGGTTGCTCGTCTGCTCCCTGTAGACTATGGCCCCTGTTCTTTTACCCTGCAGAAAGGCTGGTTTGTGCCTTTCTGCAGACTGTTAAAGCCATGCTACCCCCGATAGCTATGCCATGGAGCCCAGCCGAATACTGAAAGACTTTGGCTCCATGGCGATTGAACTGTATGTATGTGATCTGAGCGCCATCCAGTAATAATGTGCGCTCAGATCTAAGCTATCTGGGGATAGGTAGAATGTCTGTATTTTATGTAAGAAAGGTAACCTTGTGTATTTTATTGTATTTTACTTTCTTTTTACGGCCATGTGCTTAATGGAGTTTTGCCTCTGTCCTTGGAGATAATTGGATTACTTCCCAATTATCTCCAGGATAGAAGACTCTGTGGAACTGGTTTTGGGCAGAAAAGCCATGCTTCATTTGCTCACAAAGGACTTCGATCTATCTTTTGAATCAATGGACCAATTTGGATGATTTTGACATATGTTTGTATTTGGAATATGCTGATTCAGTAAGTTTTATGTGAATGTGATGCATACTTTCAAAGTTATGAATAATGTGGAAAAACTGTATTCCTCTGCCTGTGATAATTATATCACCCATTGTGTTTAGTAATCATATCACAGGCAGAGGGGAGGATTTTATGTGGGAGTGTCTGTGTGTATTTTACGGATTGATGGGTTGTTCTGTAAAACCCTGTGGGCAATACTATGTTTGTGGATTGGGAAAAAAAGAGGCTGTATGTGAGATTCTGCTTGACCCTCAAACGAAGTGTCGTCTCGTTATTGGGGGGAATTGGATTGTATGCTGACTGCCAGGAGTGTAACCCTTTCGTATGGTTTTCCTGATTAGATTTTTCTAGTGTTCATGTGTTTCCAGTTCTGGAGATCGGTGCTTACAGTAGCTGTCGGTGTATCTGGAAAGGGGAATATCGCCTAAATGGTTTTTAACCTCTGGTGAGGAAAACGGTCCGTTACAACGTTGCATTGCGGAAATAAATGAACTTTTGCACGATATTCTAATTTTTCAAATATCACCTGTATAAGTGTGCATTGATGTTGCCTTGCACATAGAAAGCTCCCGCTCACTACTCTGAAAGTAATGTGGTTGTAACAGAGCTTTCTGTACCTCCGCCAAGGACCGCTTCCTAGCTGGAACAGGGGACAAACCACAGCACTTCAGTTGCCGTGGCTTGACTGGGGCCCTGAAACCACTCCTTCCTGGAGCTGAATGGGGCATTAGCTCTAGTCCTTACAAGGACTTTCCCCATTGAATCCCCTGCAAGCTGGAACAGCAGACACAAGTAAATCTTCTTTCCCTCCAATAACAGGATGACACACAGTTTTGGAGTGTAAACTGGAATAGGATTTTAATGGAGGCACACTGGCCTTTTATGCAAGTTTCCCAACAAGGGTGACACCCAGGTGGACTTTGTTGGGCACAGGGACACAGTGAATAAACCAATAAAAACAGTCATACTGTGAGACATGCCCATGCACAAACAATAGAATCCCTCCTCTGTGCTTGGGAGATAATTGAATCAGGAACTGTACTAATCTAACCCCATTATCTCCAAGCACAGAAAAATATAAAAAGTTTTGAAACCCCAAAAAGTACCTTAAAAACACATAAAACCCCTAATAGCCCCGATCTGGGTGAACAATATATCCAAAAATCACCCAGATTGGTTCAGGAATTTCCTGGAAGTCATAGATTTGACCGACCATGCACATGGTCCTATGTCCAAAACAGTTCTAGGGAAATCAGTGCTAACAGTCGGTCAAGTTCGGTAGTCTTTTACAGGTTTCCCTGCAGGGCCCATAGTCTGTGGGCAGGAGACTGGCAAGCAAGCTCCTCCAGGAGCTCATGGCAAACTCCCTTGGAGAGAGGAGTTTGTCACAGTGGTCTTGCAGAGTATATGTTTCTCATTGGTGAAATGACACGTGTTAGAATATTAGATCTGTTTGTCATCACTATTGCTTTTCTTCTGTTTGTGAGCACCTACCTGTAGCTCTTATTAGAGCAAGACTTTATGTGCAACGTTAAATCTGTTTTCTTGCAAGATTAAACCGATGACAATCTATAATGGGTAAAGTGACAGTTCCATTTTGTATGTTAAATATAAATCTTTGAGCAAGAGAAAGATGTGCCTATCCCTTATACGTAATAAATTGTGTTTTGTGAGGTCTGAAAATAGATTGTAGAAGTGCACAACTCAATATTTAACTCTGTTTTGAAACAAATGGTAATTTACATTTTTTTATTTTTTATTTTTTTTATCAATTCTTTATTTTTGCATTGACAGACATTCAAGGTCATAACAGTGTTGGCTTACGCAGAAGCCCATTTTTCGATTGTGCTTTAGTCATGTTACAGAAAGGAAATCTGTGTCCTTAGTGTACATAATATAAATTTTAGACATATTCCATGTGGGTTGCGCAGAGGGGTCATTTACATTTTGGCTTCCTGGAAACTGTTTTGGAAGCTCTGCAGCAGCCTCCTGTGTGATTAAAGTTCAATTAACCAAGAAGGACTTCTAAAGATATCTCACTATGCTGTAAGATTTGATTGAAATGGAAGCAATTTTTTTTTTTTTTTTTTAAAACAGGGTGGTGGGGCTTTATCAAAAGTCCCATTATGACTTCAGATATCTTCTAGTGCAAACTCAGCGGTGATTGCAGGAGGAGAGGGACAATCTTTAATTTACACATTGCAGCACTTAGAGGAAGTGATCCCAGAACACTTCCTCTCTGCACTTGTAACTTAGAGTCTGCACTGGAGTAGAGCAGGCTACAGCAGCTATCGCAGCTCCTGTTTTTGACTGGTCCCTGGACAGCCCAGTCCCCACTGGACCCCAGGGAAGCCACCCACACTACGAGATATATACACAGCTGCAGAATAAGCCTCCCCCTAATACAAATAATACACACAGTCCCTACAAGCACAACACTACTGAAAATCTTCATACACAAGCAGCCCCACAAATACACACACCACCAAACACACTATATGAGATATGGTCCACATACATAGACCACATTCATAGGTAAACACACAATACCACAAACTACTCATGAACATCTACAATGTAACCGCCCACATACACACAAATGCAGCCTTACAAAGCAACTGCAGCACCCACAAGCAGAATACGGCAACATGAACCCCTCAAAAAAAAAAAAAAAAGAGGACTGGCACGCCAAGGGACTTCAAGATCTTATTTTGGCACAGTACTACTAAAAGATTGCCTACCCCTGGAATAGTGTAATCTGATTCGTTGGAAAAATTATCCTCTTCTGATTTAACTTTTAATTGTTCTCCTCTTATTCTACAGGCACAAAGGAGCCCTCAAAACAGAACATGTCCACTCCCAGCTGGAAACCCTTTATATATGGAGGTTTAGCTTCCATCACTGCAGAATGTGGTAAGTTTTTATTTATTTATTTATTTATTTTTTATATAGTTGCAGTAATGTAACCTATTATGGTCTTACATGGAGTGTTTTAGTGTTTATTGGCTACATACTATTTTTGTTTGCACTATATAGTATGGAAGACGCCGTTAAAGCGTCACTGTCATGCCGAACTTGCCTTACCCTAATTGCTTCCTCTTCTCTCCCTCTGTCAGGATCTGTTCTTCATTTCTTCCAGTCTGCTCTAGTTTTCTTTAAAACATAAGACAAAGTAGGGACTATTTTGTATTATGTACTTTTTCCTACGCTTGACCAGCGGAGGAGCAAAGTGTGCTCCATTTCCTGTGGTCAGAGCAACTTCCCACAATTCTTACTTTTCCTCCATGATCTCGCGATGCCTCCTTTCACTATTCCAGAACGTCCTGTCCTTTAGACAGAACGCCGGCAAAACTACCGAATTTCGCCTAATAGAATGAGAACAGTTTGTTCATTCATGTTAGGACGACAATCGGTACTTTTAAAGGGACACTGTAGTCAGCAGAACAACTACAGCTTATTGCATTTGTTCTGGTGAGTAGAATCATTACCTTCAGGCTTTTTGCTGTAAACACTGTCTTTTCAGAGAAAATGCAGTGTTTACATTACGGCCTAGTGATAACTCCACTGGCCACTCCTCGGATAGCTGTTAGAGATCCTTACTTGGTCATGGCTGCCTAAAATGCATCCAAGCATTCAGTGTCTCCTCCCTCTGCATGCAGACACTGAACTTTCCTCAGAGATTAATTGATTCAATTAATCTCTATGAGGAGATGCTGATTGGCCAGGGCTGTGTTTGAATTGTGCTGGCTCTGCCCCTGATCTGCCTCCTTGTAAGTCTCAGCCAATCCTATGAGAAGCATTGTGATTGGATCAGGCCACCACTTCTGATGTCAACAGACAGCTTGTTTTTCTGAGGCAAATACAGCATGCAGAGCTACAGCTTCAGGCTTGAATACAAGTATGATTTTGCTATATTTAGGGAGGCATGCTGGGTCTGGGGGTGGGGGCTAGATGGTGGTTTTAACACTATAGGGTCAGGAATACATGTTTGTGTTCCTGACCCTATAGTGTTCCTTTAGAATGAAATTCTGATCCGATCCCCACGGTATCAGGGAGCCATCTACCAAAAGGCTGAAAGACCAACATAGTGTGTGTGTCCCGAACCCCTACACGTGTCACGCGAGTGGTGACATTTCACTTAAACAGGGGACATAGGGTCTGCCTTGGCCCCCACCCATGAGCTTATAAAGCCTTCCCACGCCCTGCAATTTGACTCAGAGCGCTCAGATTGGATGGTTTAAGCCAACTATTAAGAGTGCTCTGATTGGTAAAGTTTCCAATGAGGCAAGGCTCAGAATTTACCTATCCGAGCGCTCTTATTGGTTGGCTTGGAATCCAACCAATCTGAGTCATTTTACACAGCGTGGGAAAGTTCTGATTGGTAACTTGCAAGGCTCACATATGGTGTCTGGCACTTCCATCATAAAACAAATGTTGGCATCGCAATGATTTATTTGATCTTCACTCCAGCATTGGGTGTCTGCCAGCATGGATTAAGAATTTTGGAATTTTGAGCCTTGCAAGTTACAAATCAGAGCACTCTTATTGGTTGGCTTAAACCAACCAATTTGAGCACTCTGAGTCAAATTGCAAGGTGTGGGAAGGCCCCGCGGAGCTCAGTCTGCACGGTGCCCTTGCTGGGTGATGATGGATTATTTTTTTAAATTTTTTTTTAGGCAGCGGATTTTTTTTTGTTTGTTTTTTTCTCGTCCCCCCCGGGCTGAAAAAAGGTTTTAACAAAAAAAAAAAAAAGACCTCAAATGGTAAGTTTTTAAAATTTATTTACAGGTATTTAGTTTTATTGTCTCCCCTTCATTATTTTTAGGGTGAGGCGGGTAGGTAAGGCTTGATTTCCATTTTTATTTTTTGGGGAGGGGTATTTTTTACATTTGGCCCCCACCCATCGCCCATGGGGGAGGGGGAGGACAATAGGCCCTCCACTATTGTCTTTTAGGGCCCCCACCCACGGCTCATGGGTGGGGGCCGTGGGAGGTCCCTATGTCCCCTGTTTAGTTGCATAGTCCCCACTCACGGGGCACTGGTAAGGGCTAGGGGGTACACCATGTCATCCCCCCGCTAGTTAATAGATGCCCCGCCATGGGGGTATTTTTTTATTTAGTAGACAAACTACTCGCTATGCTGCGAGTAGGGGCATTCAGGAGATTTCAGTCTCCCTTATGCTAATATAGGGGTCATATTGACCCCCCATAGTGAGGTTGGACATTGGGGGCCTATGAAGTGGCGGGGAGCACAGCTTTGTGCCGCTTCTATTTTTACATATTACAAGGAGAGAGCTGTGAACCAGTATCTCCCTCCTTGTAATAAACTGAACAAACGAACAACGATGGTCTGTGTTTGTTCGTCTAAAATTTCTATTCATTCCTTCGTCTTTCAGACAGTGTAATAGAGCAGCAGGAAATGCTAGCAGAATGCTTGGTTGTATAGGGAGAGGTATTAGCAGTAGAAAGAGGGAAGTGCTCATGCCTTTGTACAGAACAGTGGTGAGACCTCACTTGGAGTATTGTACACAGTACTGGAGACCGTATCTTCAGAAGGATATTGATACCTTAGAGAGGGTTCAGAGAAGGGCTACTAAACTGGTTCATGGATTGCGGGATAAAACTTACCAGGAAAGGTTAAAGGATCTTAACATGTATAGCTTGGAGGAAAGACGAGACAGGGGGGATATGATAGAAACATTTAAATATATAAAGGGAATCAACACAGTAAAGGAGGAGACTATATTTAAAAGAAGAAAAACTACCACAACAAGAGGACATAGTCTTAAATTAGAGGGACAAAGGTTTAAACATAATATCAGGAAGTATTACTTAACTGAGAGGGTAGTGGATGCATGGAATAGCCTTTCAGCTGAAGTGGTAGATGTTAACACAGTAAAGGAGTTTAAGCATAGGCATAAGGCTATCCTAACTATAAGATAAGGCTAGGGACTAATGAAAGTATTTAGAAAATTGGGCAGACTTGATGGGCCAAATGGTTCTTATCTGCTGTCACATTCTATGTTTCTGACGAATTAATGAATATACGAAATTCCTGTCTGATTTTCGGACAATAGCGAATGCACAAGTGTTTTTTTTTTTTTTTTTTTTTACTGGGCATGAACAGGAATTTCACAGTGCTATCTAGTGTGGGCAGATGACGTGTCCCACAGGGACTTCATCTGCCCACACAAAGATGGCGGCACCCAGGACCTAGGTCCAGTCATAAAATGTAGATTTAAAAAAAATAGGTAATATGGGGTGCTTATGGGAATTTGGGGTGACTAGGGGGGCAGTTAGATGTAGTGGAGTCGGGAGGGGAGTTAAAAAAAAAAATAAAAAAAATAAAAAGGAAACCTGGATTCGGCCATGACCGTGCCGCTTCAATTCAAAGCAACAGGGTAGCAATAGACTACTAATTTGATTGCATTGTTAAAGTGAAGAATGTGCTTAACCTTGTTCTAGTATTGTGCTATTCAGTAAAAATTGTTATTAGTAAATAATGGTAAGAATATTCTGGCAACACATCTGCTCTGTGGTTTTATCTGTGTGTGTTTTACACACAGTGTGTCTGGTGTACAAACAAATGGTCCAAGTACTGTGTGATACAGTCTTTTATCCTATTTTATTTTTTAATTCTTGTTAGAAATTTCCATGCTTTACTATAGTTATGCTGTACAGCTTCCACTCAGATTTAGTTTTGAACACAAAAGGTGCTGCATACAAAAAAAAGTCTTCCATATTGTATATATTTGTAAAACATAGTACGTGTTTGTTGAAGCTGGGGAAACTTGAGTCACCTTTAGCTGTGGCTAGGTATTGTGAATGGTAATCATAGGCTTTGTATGGCTTCTTGAAAACATTAATTTAATAAAGATCCCCTACATATCATTCTTGTCTTGATATTTCACAAGAGGAATTTGTTTTTATTATTATTATTATTATTATTATTATTATATGATCCTGCAGTGAGTTGTGGCCATCTCCTTCACATTGGAGCTGTCTCTCCTAGATATTTAAATATATATTATATTTGACTTGGCTAGCTCTTTCAGGGTTCAAATTTGATAAACTGGTTTGTTGAAGTGCAGACAGATGACAGCAAGTTGGTGTTTGGTCTACCAATGTTACCTGAGTAAATGACTGTTTGAGACACTCTTTAACAGCTTTTCCTTTGACAACTATTGCTGTTTCATTCCTGTTTCTCCTGTAAGCCATTGCCTTCTCCATATTGTCAAACCGAAACATTGATCTTCAAGGAACTGTTCTCCTTTACACTGTCCATATGACTTTATCGATTTCCTGACTATTTTCATACCCTAGGTTTATTTCAGAATACTATATATTGCTCATTGTGTTTTTGGTAGTTGTGTGTTTTTATTTAAATTTTTTTGTAACCTATTGCAGAATGTGTTTTAATTCAGTTTGCATCTCTATCTACTCCATTACTTGCTGGGTTAAACATGCGGCAAACTCCTGTGTGGGATTAAAGTTTAATTAAATGAACGCTCCAAACACTGTATTATAGCTTTCTGTAGTGGTTATGGTGCTCTAGTGCAACACCCCCATTGTATGCTGTCAAAACAAACAAGAAAAAAGAAGGCCGTCTACAGGCAATGGCTGTCTAAAAAATAGACTAGACCACTTAGCCTGTAGATGGTCACACCTTATAAGACACTCCAGTTGTGTCTTGGGGCATAACCCCTGATTAGGAAAATTATAAGATACTCAAAATAACTAGTACCTGAGTATCCACTGGAATAATGAATAATAATGATTCTATAGAAAGTGATATATATATTTATTGAGAAAATACAATAGAAAAATGTGTCAGGTGAAAGTAGAAAATAACTGCCTAATGGCAAAAAACTCCCTTCCTAATGTCTCTAAAAGTAGATACTGCAGTACACAGGTTTAGCACACTGTTTTTTCACATTATAGATACTTTTTTGATACAATTTACTGATTGAATTATTTTCAATAGATCCAACATATAGTATCTATTTATACTTGTCTGCTTATTCTGCCTCTAATGTTCCAATATACTAGCAATTTAGTATTATATCTTATATAATGCCAAAGCTTGAGACTTACTAGGTAAAAGCAAGTCCTTAATGTCTCTTATATATTCTTTGGATGTATTTATACCAGCCTGCAGTCACAGATATTGACCTATGAAGCATTATATATTAAAGTCTAAACCTGTGTACTGCAGTATCTACTTTTAGAGACATTAGGAAGGGAGTTTTTGGCCATTAGGCAGTTATTTTCTACTTTCACCTGACCCATTTTTTCTATTGTATTTTCTCATTATATATATCTCTATATCTCACTTTCTATAGAATCATTATTATTCATTATTCCAGTGGATACTCAGGTACTAGTTATTTTGAGTATCTTATAGTTATGCTGTCAAAACATTTTTAGAACTGTGTGAGTTCTTACCTGTGGTCCATTGCAGGTATGCAATGCAGATCTTGCTCACTGGCTTAGAGCATCAGCTGAGTTCTCTCAACCAATGTGCTATGCCACGCACTACTGAGCTTAGAGCATCTGGCTCTTAATAGCAAGTAGTGGAGGTTGGAAGTGGTGTACAGCAGAGTCCAGGTAAGAAAGCAAACCTTTGAAAAAACTTCAATTTCTTAAAATGAGGGGTGCCAGGGTGTTCTTGGCACTATAATCATTATAGTGTGTTGTAGCGGACATGGTGCTCGGAGTGTTCCTATTAACTTTGATCTTACAACACAGTGTTTACACTAATGCAGTAAGAAGTTCTAAAGTGTGACCAGCACTGTATAGACAGAAAAAAAATGTGGTTTGACTCCTAAATGGCAGAGGATTGAGCAGTGAGAGTGCAGGGGCATCATCTATACACCAAAACTGCTTCCTTGAACTATAGTTGCTTTTATGCCTAGAGTATGACTATAAAGATAGTTTTTGCTTTATGCAATTGACACAATGCCAGAAACTAAAATCATAAATGTGTGTGTGCATGCATATATCTTTCTCTCTAAATGTCTATCTTTCATTTAAATTTTTTTTTTCTTCTGCTTCAGGAACCTTCCCCATAGATTTAACGAAAACTCGTCTCCAGGTGCAGGGTCAGACTAATGATGTAAAATACAAAGAAATCCGCTACAGAGGAATGCTCCATGCACTTGCAAGAATATGTAGGGAGGAGGGATTGAAAGCGCTATATTCTGGGTAAGTACAGCACAGAACTAAAGATGGGGGTGGAAAGGGGTCTGGCACATCCATCTTAAAACAAATTTTGGCATCACAATGATTTACTTGATCTTCACCCCCAGGGTTGGCTTTTTCTATTTTATGCAAGTGGTGAATTTCAAATTTAAAGGAACACACCAGCTGGGGGAAAATACAATTTCTATCAATCTATAGGTGTCTTATTAGCTTATATTAAAATTGGCTAACTTGGACTCAGGAAATGCTTAAAATTACACTTAAAACCATATCTGTCTAATTCCGAGAGCAGATAGCCCCCACCTGAGCTGTTTCTCCTAAATCCGTCTGTTCCTTCTCTTTCCTGGAACTTATCTGTTATATGTACATGACATTCATCCCTATGTCTTATATGTACTCCCCTCCTACTACTGTTCTATTAGTATTTGCACGTAAGCACTTCCGTTTTAATGTATAAAAACACAACTGACAAAATAAAGGTTGGCGGCTTATTTTTAATTCACACTTCTCCAGGTGCGCTTGAAAACAATTTGGGTTCCCCCAAATATAACGAAGATCAAACTGGATCTATATCACTTCCCAATGCAGTTCATTGAGAAGTCTTTGCATGGCAAGTGTTCTGGGCATTTATCTGCTTCTTACGTTTAGCACCACTGAGCTCAACAACCAGAAAGTAACATGTCCTGTTGCCTGATTGACAGCAGTATGGGTATGACAAGGTTAATTTAAATTGAATTTCTACTGAAATCTGCACTTTTTGTGAAATTGGGGAGTAATAAAGTTTGAATTCTGCTAAAGATGCTTGATAGCCCCCTGTTGTTGTTTATTTACCTTTCATATGTTACTGCCAGTTCTGTGCTTTCACAAGCGTCAGACATGAGTTACACTGTGCTTGTGCTGATGTTAAATTGATTCCTTATGGTATACTGTTCATATTGTTGTTTTCTGTTTCTTTGCACGGCATAGTTATTTACTATGTATACTGCTACATCGAGACTATGGTGGAACAGACTGGGTTTTTGCATATGCTACAAAATAATCCACAGACAAGACTCAATATTTATAGCTTTTAATTCATTGCAAAGTTGTTGGTGCATTGATCACCCACCCAGCTGTGCAAATAGTATAAAACTGCAGAACCTTAAAACAAACTCAAGATTGTCAAAAAAAACCACTGTAGAACTTTGTAAAGTCAAGAGCTATCAATCAGGCATCCACAATCAAGGGTTTTTGGTTGCTTGTGATCATTTTGACGAAGCTTTTTGTGTGTAGTGTCTGCATGCCACACATGGCTTGCCTTTCTCTTTCCAGGAAAGTGCGACAAGCCACGGACGTCGGCTTTGGCAAGAGCTTAACATAATCCAGTTCATTAAAAAGGAATTGTGCTATGTGTAAACAGATAACCCCTGCAGTTTTCTCATATACTAAATATCACTGGGTCAGACAAACAAAAGAAGTCCATTAACAAATTGGCCACTGATGACCAGTTATAAGAGCTTAACCCTCATCATGCAGGGCAAACATCTCTACCTACAAATTGAACAATTTCACCTTTATCTCAAAACACAGATGTTTGGTGGTATGAGTGAGGTTTGTTGGGTTAATATGAAGGAATCTGATTGCCTCCCTGGTATAGGATTCAGAAGAACAGCTTTACTTAAACCCAGTTTTAAATGCTGCACACGAGGTATCTCAGTTGAGAAAGTTCAAATATTTGGGTACATTTGATAAAGCACATTGATCTAGTTTGTGTGCTGTTGCCTCTTTTTTTGTGCAGTCATGTTTTTTTGAAGGATTTGTTGCTGTCAGTAGGGGAAAACCTGTAACTTGGGGAAAAGTGTCATTGCGGAAGACTAGTAAAAAAAAAAAAAAAAAAAGTGTTATTTATAACTGGACTTTCTAAAGAGCCAACATATTCCGCAGCGCTGTACAATTGTGAAAAACACAATTTAAATAGACTGATACAAAAGGTCAGGGCCTTAAATAGACTGATACAAAAGGGCAAGCGGTGGAGGGGAGGCAGGGGGAGTGAAGATGGCAAAACAGAATTTGTTTTCAATTGTATACAACAAACTAATATCATCCAAAATAGTAATAACGTGGAGTACAAACTATTACAGTAGTAAACTATAGGTAAAAATAGTAGCATTGCTATAGTAAATTAATAATGTCGTAAGAAAAGGGAAATAAATCCGATGGAGTGTCTTCTGAATCTCACTCTGTACTTTAACCCCTTAACACCGTTACGGCGTCCTATGCCGTCCCGCATTTAAAGGGCTTTAAAGCCGTTGCGGCGGCATAGAACGCCGTAACAGCTTTCTGCCCCTGGAGGTCCGGTGGACTTACCTCCGCTGCGATCCTCTTCTGGAGGGCTGCCTGACGGCCTAGGCAGCCCTACCCCGGCAAATGAGGCCCCCGGGTGCCATGTGATCGCTCTCAAAGAGCAATCACATGGCCCCCTATAGCTGGCTGTGGATCTGCCAGCAGGGGGACTGTCTGAAATGACACAGTCCCCCTCCTGGTGGGAAGTATTAAAAAAAATAAAAAAATACACATGCTAAAATAAATTAAGTGTGTGTGTGTATGTTTGTATGTATGTATGTATATGTGTGTGTGTGTATATGTAACATCATACAAAGTGTATTTTAATAATATAAGTACATATATTAGTATTAAAATACACTTTGTATGATGTTACATATATATAGTGTGTGTGTGTGTGTGTATATATATTTATTTATGTGTGTATAATAAATAAAATAAAATATTGAAACAAAATTTAATATAAATTATATATTCGAATGTAATTTCATTCTAACTGTATTTTGTTATTAATATATATTGGTAACAAAATACACTTAGAATGAAATAAATGTGTGTGTGTGTGTGTGTGTGTGTGTATATAATTACAAATAACCGCAAAAAAAAAAAATGTGTGTGTGTATGTGTGTATGTATATGTGTGTGTGTGTGTGTGTGTATATATATATATATATATATATATATATATATATATATATATATATATATATATATATATATATATATATATATATATATGTATGTATGTATGTATATATATATATTCTACGTGTATATTTAAGTAATCTTTTAACATAATTATGTGATTTGATTAATTAAAATTTGATTGACATGTTTGACAACACAGGGAGAAAGTGCAGAGAATTTAATTCGCAAGCACTATATTTGACCCTGTAACTCTCCAAGACACCATAAAACCTGTACATAGGGGGTACTGTTTTACTCAGGAGACTTCGCTGAACTCAAATATTAGTGTTTCAAACTGGTAAATTGTATTACAACGATGATATTTTAAGTAAAAGTGATGTTTTTAACATTTTTTACAAACGAACTGCACTTTTATGGACTATATTATTGTTGTAGTATGTTTTACTGTTTTAAAACACTAATATTATTTTTATTTTTTGCTTTTTTCGCACAAAAACAAATATGAACGCCAACTTTGGCCAGTGTTTGTGACTAAGTGGCTACTAAAAAAGACTAAACATACCCCACTTTCAATACCTTGGGTTGTCTACTTTTTCAAATGGTATGCCATTATGGGGGTAATTCTCATTCCTGGGCTACCACACCGTCTCAAAAGTAACATTACTAATCTGGCAAATTTCAATGTGTAAATGGAACGTTCTATGTTTGACCCTGTAACTTTCCCAAACACCATAAAACCTGTTAATGGGTAGTGATGTCACGAACCGTTCGCGAACTTCCTGCGAACGGCTCGCTGCGGTTCCACGGCGAACTCCGGTCAGCTGACACATCCCGGCCAATCTCCAGCAGACCCTCCCACCTCCTGGACAGCATCTATGTTGAAGGCAGCTTCCGCGGCGAGCCGTTCGCGGGAAGTTCGCGAACGGTTCGCGACATCACTATTAATGGGGGGTACTGTTGTACTCGTGAGACATCGCTGATTACAAATATGTGCATTTTTTTGCAGTAAAACCTAACAGTATTATGACATTCACAGCTAAAATGTCAGACGAAAATACAAATTAAAAAAAAATCTTATTTTCTCACATTTTTTTTAATATCATAATAAATTATGTTCCATAAATGAATAGTTAATGATAAATTTAAGCCGTTTCTCCTGAACAAAATGATATATAATAAGTGTGGGTGCACTTAATGTGACAGCGGTGAATTACGGTTGAACAGAAATATAGCGCAAAATCCACTTTTTGTTTACGTTTTGTTTTGATCAGAACGTGCACTATTGACTCCGTCCTGAAGGGGTTAAAGTTGCAGTGTAGAAATAGAGTGGATTTGTTGCAGATGGATTGTGGAATTGGGCAGGGGAAGCAGTGGTGAACCTTTTAATCTTTGTATTGTATAGGTCACTGGACTAACTGTGCTTTCCAAAATTTTACAAATATTTTTTTAAATAGATTTCCTGCAATTTATGTATTTTTGTTTTTACAGGATTGCGCCAGCAATGCTTCGCCAGGCTTCTTATGGCACCATTAAAATTGGAACCTACCAGAGCTTAAAGAGATTATTTGTTGATCGTCCAGAAGGTGAGTAGTGACTTCAAAAAGCAAGTACCTCTAGAGTTATAGTTATACAAGTTCCTACTGGCCATTTGCAGATTTGTGCCACTGCATGTGTACAGTAAACACATAGTTACATCTATTTACTTATAATTATAAATTTGAAAAAAAAATTCTATTTATTTTGCCAAAGCAAAATTTCCAGCTTTGGTTAGGGTTCTCTTTATACCTTTTTATACAAACAATGTACATGTATTAACGTCTGCTAGTTGATGATGTGTGGATTGCCTTAGTTCCTATAATGACTTTCATTGATTCCCCGAACTGTAAAACTAAAATGTAAATTAAAGCTGTCCTTTTTTGTTTTTTGTACTGTTTAGATGAAACACTAGTTCTGAATGTATTTTGTGGAGTTCTGTCTGGTGTGGTTTCTTCTTGCATTGCCAACCCCACAGATGTTTTAAAGGTAATATTCATGATTGTTAAATGGTTGTTTTGTTAAACAGAATTCTGGGGGGTTTTATGGTGAGATTATTCCCATAACTTGTAATTAGAAGACTAGGAAACTCCTGCTGCTGGGAGATTAATCATTCAAATAGCCTTACTAAAGGATTTAGTTTTGGTTTTTACTTCTTCCTCCTCTCTCTCCTGGGTGCAGATTTGTTTCCATCTAGTAGGGCTTGTGCTTTCTGCCAAAGAAGTTGCCCGACAGTCATCTGGTCACTTTTGTTTGCACGCAGTTCACACAGTGAAGCCCCTGCACATGATGTGTTTTCCAGAAATGGTACACCAGAGATGAGGGCTAGGTGAATGAGGATGCACACACTGAGATTGTTTAGTAGCAAAAATAGATACTGTTGACCGATAGCTATTTGGTAGCAGTCTCTCTTCAGTTTTAATAGTTGGTACTACTGAAGTTATCCTTATTGACCAGTGCTATTTAACAAGTTTGTTTAATCCAGCAGTTTACGATGTATACATTTACTTTAGCTTGAACAGGTGTCCACTTATATTTGCATGATGGCGTTTTTCTTTTGCTTGTTTACCGTGGCAGTTTGCGTAGATTTGTGTAAGAATGACATCACGCAAAATATAGCCATCATTTTTGTTTTTTTATTATTATAAGTGAATTAAATGCACTAGTTAGAAGTTCCATACACTCTAGATTGTGAGATTATTACAAAGGTCCCAATCAGCTAATGTCTTGTAATTGCTGGTTGCAGTGGCGGCTTTAGACTTTGTGAGGCCTTAGGCGAAATTCATACATTAGGCCCCCACTAACACTCATAGTAAAAAAATAATAAAAAAAATAAATAATATATATATATATATATATATATATATATATATATATATATATATATAATATGTGTTGCATTGTGTGTGTATAATGAGCTGTAGGTATATTGAAAGGCTGGCTTGCGGCGCTGGATTTTTCAGAGGCTTGCATTGTCGCGGCTCCCTGTGCCGCTCTGTTGTGAACTCTCTGACTGTAGTTATGGTATTTTAGGGATGCACCGAAATGAAAATTCTGGGCCAAAACCGAAAAATCGGGATGCCTTGTCCGAAAACAGAAACCGAAAATGAAATTTTTCCCCAAATGATTTTAAAAGTTTTTTTTTTGTTTTGTTTTTTTTTCCCTATAATTTTATTAGACTTTTAAATGAATTTAATCTAATATGAAAAACTTCCCTTATCCCTTCTCTTTTAGTGGTCCCCTCCGCTTAAAGGATCACTATAGTGTCAGGAAAACAAAACCGTTTTCCTGTCACTATAGTGCCCTGAGGGTGCCCCAATATGCCTCCAGCGTTGCAGATGCGCCACCAGAGGTTGGCTTAACCCTGCAATGTAAACATAGCAGTTTCTCTGAAACTGCTATGTTTGCATCTGAAGGGTTAAAACCTGAGGGATATTGCACCCAGACCACTTCATTGAGCTGAAGTGGTCTGGGTGACTATAGTGTCCCATTAATGTTCCTCTCCTCCTCCTCCCCTGTCCCATAGTGTTCTTTTCTCTCCCCTCCCTCCCCTGCCCCATGGTGTTCTTTTCTCTCCCCCCAGCCCCCCTTCCCTGCACCCCTTTCTGCACCCAGACCACTTCATTGAGCTGAAGTGGTCTGGCTACTATAGTATCCCTTTAATGTTCCCTCCCCGCCCCATAGTGTTCTTTTCTCCCCCCACCCTTCCCTGCCCCATAGTGTTCTTTTCTTCCCTCTCCTGTCCCAGTGTTTTCTCCGCTCCCCTGTCCCATAGTGTTCTTCCCTCCCACCCTGTCCCAAGTGCAGTATTCTTGACTTTTCATGTTATTATTAGTGTTATTTCAGTTATTTGACCTTTGTCTTATATTATCTTCAAAGAGAAAAGTCAATTAAGTGCTCTCCCTGTGCGGCTGCCGTTCGTATAGTGGTACGCCACGTGCAGCAGAAAACGGCGACCATTTTGTTCGTACTAAAGGAGGCAGTGGGACTTGGTCATCGAGTGTCTGGAACTAAAACTTCCTTAATTTTGGTCAAACTATACAAACGCCTGCTTCCTTTTCCCGAACAGCCAGGAGAGAGCTGTTCAGTAGTTTTATTCCCATGAACCAGGGGAACAATCGCTGCTATGAGCTAGAGGGTGCCATTCGTGCATTTATTTGTTTTTGTGACTTTTTGAAATCGGAGCCTCATGTGTGGTCAGTCAAAATTGGACCTCCATAAAATTCCAAAACCCCTGAACTGATCTGGGTGATTTTTGGATATGTTGGTCACCCAGATCAGGGCTATCAGGGGATGTAACATTTATGGGGATTTTATGTGTTTTGGGGTACTTTTCAAGTTTAATGAAAAATGAGTTTTTTCTGCCTGGAGATAATTGAGTTATTACAGTATCTGACTCAATTATCTCACAGGCAGAGAGGAGGGAATTATCTGTTTATATTGGGAATGTCACAGTTTGGCACTGTACTATTATTGGCTGTAAGCATTGTGTCCCTGTCCCCCACAAGGTCCATGTGGGAGTACCCCTTGCATGAGGACTTGCATAAAAGCCAGTGTGACACCCATTAAAATCATTCCTGTTACACCCTTCATCTAGATTCGTCTGATGTTTGGGTTCCTGTCTACTTTACTGGGAGAATACAGTTGGGAAACTGTCATTTGTATGGAGAATCGTTCGACTCCGCACCCAAACTATAATCACTCAGGCTCAGGCAGTTCGGGAGCAAATAGACTAACGGGTAGCTGCTATACCAGCATTCGTTACAATTATCATCTGAATTGTTAATGCAAGCATGTCTGTTAAACTATGCACTACAAAAATAAAAAAAAATTTGACCCGTTTTTGGCCGAAACAGGATAGGCCCATTTTCGGCCGAAATTTCGGTGAATCCCTACATAATTTGCAAACTAAATTAATTTGCAGTAATGCTGATCGTTTATACATGATGGCCATGTATGGTTGTATAGGCTGGCAGTCATGAATACAGAAGTGCTGGTGTAGAGGTGTTCTTGCAAACAGAAATTACAATTTTGATTGGGTGAAAAAAATCACCTACAGAATAATAAAGTTACAGATAAGAAAACTGTCACATAGACCTTTCCCCCACACATTCTGTAATCCCTTAACATCTATATTATCCCATATGTTCTTTACATGTGTCTCCATGTTTTGGATATGTATGTATATAATATATATTATATATCTTGCCACATTACCTTTGCTTTGCCGTACCATGCCACCCTCACATTGCAACCATACACGTATGTGCCTGAGAATGTCAGACAGTGAGAATCCATATTTGTGAATGTATGTCTCTGTGAGCATGTGTATGTTTGTTTATGGAACTGTATGTGTATTGGGTAGCTGACTGTTGTGTGTTTGGGGCTGCCTGTGACCATGATTGTGTGTATGATAAATGTATTCAGGGTGCGCAAAGGGGTAACTGTGGCAGGGTGAAGGGATTAATGAGACCGGGTTGAGGGAGGGTGTGTGACAGGGTTGAGGGAGTGAGAAAGACAGGGTTGAGGGAGGGAGTGTGACATGATTAGAGGTGTTAATGTGACAGGATGAGTGTGGCATGGTTGAAGGAGGGAGTGTGACAGGGCGAGGGGAGGTGAGAGTGACAGGATTAGAGAGGGTGAGTGTGGAATGGTTTGGGCATGAAAAGTGGCAGGACTGGAGGGGTTAATGTGGGGGTTGACTTTGTGTGTGGAATTGTGACAGTAGGTAGGTGAGAATGTGTTGGGAGGTGTGACTATGTATCAGTGACCGTGTTGGGGACTGATCATGTGGAAGGGTGACACTGTGGAGGAAGATGAGTTTGGGGGGCAGTGTGGGGTGACAGGGTGGAGGATGGTGACTGTGTGGGGAGGCAGGGTGTGGGACAGTGGGGAGGGGAAAAGTGTGTGTGTGTGAAGGGATGAGTGACAGTGTGGGGGGGGAAGTTTTTTTTTGTAAATCTTTTTATTGAGTAGAATGCATAGTCAACAACAGTAACAAAGCAAGACACGCAGGTCTATGTGTATACATAAAACATTTCAAATCGAGCATAAGTATATTAAAACTAGGTTATCGATATTAAGTTGGTCCTGATAGAAACTATATTTGCCAATAGGGAGACTAAACCCATCCACCCGTTAGTTTAAATGCAGCAGGCCAATATTGATGAACATGGAAGACCTTGTTCACTAGACTACTTCTCTTGTTATATTCATGGTAGGTGAGTAACGGGCATAGAGTATTTCCAGAATTACTTCTGCCGTGCCCAACCTGTTATATAAAGTTGTTATAGAGAACACCTAAATTTATTTCTCATCTCTCAGATGAGGTATTCGTTATGAGGCCAGTTAGCCTTAATGATACCTGCGCTTAACTCTAAGTGCGGTGGGGGGGGAAGTTTTATGACCGTGTTTGGGTATGGTATGTGGGGGGCAAGGAGTGTGGAGGCTGTGACAAGCCTCAGCACAGTGGAATACCTTTTTTTATGCAAGTTCCTGGTGGTCCAGTTGTGGCAGTCCCTAGTGGTCCAGTGGGATAACTATCCTGTCTGCAGCTCTGCCACGCACAGAGCTGGAGACCTCGTTCTCACAAGCTCCAGTCAGAGCGCGCGACATCACTCTGTGAGCTCGCGAGAAACACACCATGTGATCTGCACCCGGCGGAGCTGCAGATCTAAGGCTCGGCTCTCTATGGGCAGACCATAGAGAGGGGCCCTGCATCCGGCGGCATACTGGGTAAGCCCTGACTGAGGACCCGACAGTTCAGTCTGCTCTAAGGTGATTTAGGCGGCCGCAAGGCCTTAAATCGCCTAATTAAAGCGCCGCCTCTGGATGGTTGTATATACATACATATCTGTGATTTGCAAACCTAACTTTGCGTTTAAATTGATATGTAAAAAATCTGGACATTTTGTAAACCATTTATATTAACGTGCTTGGTGTTGTGCTCTGATGCATAAAGGACATGGAATATAAAGGGTACTTACTATTTCACAAAAAAATGCATTACATAGATATTTTACTGTTTATTTTGATACTTTTGACCTACTTTGGACAAAAATGCAGATTTGTTTTAGTGGACACAAAACCTATATTAATAACCAGGTCCGGTCAGGCAAATTATACAATTGTAATCCTATACTAATAAACACGTGTTTCAATCCAAAGTCCTACTTTGTTCAATGTGCTATTTGCCTGCTTGTTTATGTAGTGATTTTGGTGCAAATAGCATGTCCCTGCAGGCAGAGCAAAAGTAGTGTTTATATTGCTGCCTATGGCCACCTCCAACTAGCAGAGGTGGGATGACCATACCAAAATCAGAGCATGAAGGGGATATAAGGTAAAGAGGTTGTGTTTGGTTTTTTTTTTTTTGGTTTCTGGATGTCCAATAATCTAGGTATTGTAACATTATAGTGTTAGGAACTTTTTTCAACACTTTTTAATTAAAAAAGCACCAACATATTCTACAAAGTGTTGTTTTTTTTTTGTTTTTTTTTTCATAAAACTGGGGGAAAAAAACACAAAAAACATACATTTAAAATGCTGGATTTTATATGCCTCATTTTAATATACTTAATGAACATATATATAGATTCAATCAGTTTCTCACTTTTGTCATTTTGATTTGAACTATGTTTTGTTTGCTTCCAGCTGGAACATGTGACAGCCATGTGGAAGTGATCAGTTTGTTCTTTGCAAACTCAAAGCACAGGGAGATCTGATGTAACATGTTCCATGCAAGTAGATGGATGTACAGTATATTGATTGATTTTTTTTTTTTTTTATGTGGGTGATAGGGCATAGGAATTAGCCATACCAAAGCAGGGGAACACCATGTACAAAACTATTTGTGCTCAGTTTCCTATATTCTCAAGATAGCCGTGTACGTTGAGCAGACAGCCTGACTGTAATGTGAGCGCATAACTTTCTGAGAATAGTAACTTGACATACTGATCCTGATTAACCTTTTCGGTGGACCTTGTTCTTGATTAACCATTCCCAGTGTATAATAAAAGTTGTGTTAAATGGCGTGTTTTGAGCCTTTAATGAATAGGAAATCACTTTTTGAGTTTAATAAAATGTTGCTTACATTTGTGTTTTTAATCTATAGATAAGAATGCAAGCCCAGGGCAGCCTTATCCAGGGAGGAATGATTGGAAACTTCATCAGTATCTACCAGCAAGAAGGAACTAGAGGATTATGGAAGGCAAGTGAACAAGACCTGTTTTTATAAACAAACCAACTTTACTCTTAATGTAACAGTCATGGCCTTAAAGAGGAAGTGTCACTTCCAGACAGGTGACAGTTCCTCGTTCCTTCACCTCATTAAACTCTATTGCAGTTATGCCTGTTTTGAAATACTTTACTAATTTAGATATAGAATCTCCATAGACCTCAATGCTGTACTCTCACACATGCACAAGAGTACAGCAGTGACGTTGTCTCCGGGTGCTGAAGCACCAGCATCTGGAGCAGATGGAGGAAGATGGCAGCTCCCGTGAAGGACCGGTTCAAGTAACTCTCACCTCAACCTGCCTCAGCCACTAGGCCACCAGCGACAATGTCAAAGTCAGGGGTCCTACGGTGATGCAATAATTATCAGATTACTATAACATATCTGTGTAGTCCCAGGCTGATTTATATGTTTCTTTTATCAGTCATATCAACTTTACTATGCACCTGTTCACAAATAACGCTTTCAGCCTATCACTGGCTTCGGAGGTATCGACCTTAGCACAGGGGCCAGAGGAGGCAATGGGGCTGAGCTTATGAGCACTATCAACAAGACTTTGGGGTTAAACATTAAAAAACTGTTTAACCCCATAAGGTGAGACAGTGCCTAGAGTGGTGCTAAAATACACTTTTACAAAATAGAGCATTTTATGGGGTGATTTTAAAAAACAATTATTAAATGTATTTATTTTATTTTCAGTGGTTTAATATCCAAATAAGTGACATATCAGCTTTAACACTTAGTACCAGCAGTTTGTTAAACAACTTTGTATTGCCTTTCAGGGGGTTTCACTCACTGCACAAAGAGCAGCTATTGTGGTTGGTGTGGAGTTGCCGGTGTATGACATCACTAAGAAACATCTGATCTTGTCTGGGCTGATGGGAGACACCATCTATACTCACTTTCTGTAGGTCATATAGAAGTCTGTTTTCCAAATTCAACAAATGCATTTCTGTTCTTCTATTTATTAATAGTTTACATTAAACTGTGATGTAGCAGACCAAAGCCCTAGCTAATAACATCTATCCTTATCTCCATGGATTCAAAAGTTTGCAACTTTTTAAATAACTTTTGTATAACTTGGGATTTGGTGATTAGTGTTGTTGGTTGCTGCACTAGAGTGTGGGATAATGGTAGTTTGTTTTGTTTTTTGGATTTGTTTTTTTTTATTAAAAAAAAATAAATTATTACAAATATTAGAACAATTACAATTATTTCACACAAACCTTGTTATTGAGGCTCTGCTTTAAACTGAAGGATCATATGAGTCTTCACCCGCCCTAGATAATTTGCAAAAGTTGTGTTTTTTATATAATCCTCTAAAGCGGTTATCAAACTAAATGTAAAGAAAACTTGCCTGTGTCCCATGCACCCCACAAAGTTCAACAGATACTAATTTGTGTGCTTTTCCAAAGTTCATACACCATGCCAATATCACTTTTTTAAAAGTTCTGCCCAAATTAAACTCTTGATCCCTTCTTAGTCAGTTGGGGTTTGCTAAAGACAAATAGGTGTAAGCTTTGAGAATTCATTTTGCCAAGCACTCATCTTCTTATGGTGCTTTGTGTGTTAGAAACCATCAGTAATCCAGAATGGGTATATAGCCAAGATTGCAAAATAAGAATATTTGGATTTGGTTGCTGCAAGAAGACTTGGCTGAGTGAGTAATTCCATTATAAATCTAATCCTCTCGTGTAGGTCCAGTTTTACTTGTGGGTTAGCAGGAGCTCTTGCTTCAAATCCTGTTGATGTTGTAAGAACTAGAATGATGAACCAGAAAGTGGTATGTGATGCTGCCTCAAGTTACAAGGGCACCCTGGATTGTTTATTGCAGGTATGTCATATGTATATTTGCCTTGGAAAGATATTTAAAGAAATATATTAAAACAAACTAAACAAACTCTATCCTAGACCTTTTTGTAAGAGCTGCAAAAATGTGTATTAACATGCCACATTGGTTGTGTGGGTTGGTTGGTTGTTTTTTGGGGGTAGGAGGTTAAAACAAAATAAGTTGATTGAATTATTGTAAACCTCTGTGACCCCAGTAAGTGCAGGCATTTGCAGTGTTGATTTACGCTTTTCAGAAGGAGATCCTATCCTCCCAACCAGGTTATTCTTTTGAGATTTTGTACAAATGATTGATTCAGGGCACACACCTGTATTATCCAGGGTATAATTAATTATGGTGGAAAGTGAGCTAAAAATAACAGCTCAGCGTAATCTTTGCATTTAAATATCCACAGATTTAAGCAGTTGGTCTCTGATGTGAATCTACCAACATTGGTGGTGATTCTTCAGAGCACTGAAAATAAATGTCTGCCTAAGATATGGATCAATCTGCACTTCTGTGTTATAAAGTAATTTTTATTTTGTTAAAAGGTATGACTACAGTAATAAAATTAATCCATATATTTAGTAAAATCAAATTATTCTTGTGTCCATGTAATGAACTAGAACATACTCATTCTGTGTGTGTGTGTATGTGTATATATATATATATATATTTTTTGTTATTTTTTTTTTTTTTTTTAATGTATTGCTTTCTTTGCAGACTTGGAAGAATGAAGGGTTTTCTGCTTTGTACAAAGGATTTTGGCCAAACTGGTTAAGACTTGGACCATGGAATATCATTGTATCCTTTCTGAAATTCCTAAGTAACTTTTTCTAAACTGCTAAGTTCCATTAACAGCCTTTCCTTGTTTCTACTTGGTACATGGATTTTTCTTCTTGCACTCTGTTTAGTATAAACACAAGTAGGGATCGACTGATTATCAGTTTTGCTGATATTCCGGGTTTTTAAAAATGTCGGTATCTGCCTAAATCTTGCCGATAATGAGGTGGTCTAGCGTGCGACCAATTTGTCCTCTCTCCAAGTCTCGCGATTCACGCCCTGGCCATCAAAGCATTCACGCCGGTTATCGCGGCAAAACTCAGTGCGGCAAAACCAGGCACACAAATCGCAAGACTTTGAGAGGCGCTGAAGTAGTGCTGTCTGACTTATACTTTCTATTTGTGCCATGTTGCGTCTGAGCTTGTTGAGAACGCCCCTCAAGGTGCTCCACGTCACTAGATTGTGCCCAGCATTAGTGAGAGGTGGGGGATTATGCCCTTTCACCATCTGCCTGTCTGCAGTCTCTGTGTCTGTGAGGGAGAAGACACAGCAGGTGAAGCCATGACAGGAAGCTGCAAAGGTGATGCCACAAGCTAGAAGTTGTTAAGCATGCTAATAACATAATATGCCCTTAGGGTACAGGATTTTACCACAGAGTAGATGATAAACGCTCACAAGATATAAAAAGGTTATGACTCACTTTAAAAGCCTTCAAGCTATTTGAGCAACCCCAAAAAAGCCCATGGTAAATGTACAGAATATCGCTATCTGCCTGAAAGTTAACAGATTATCGGTATCAAAAAAATTAAATAAAAAAAGATCCCAACTTACAGGTGAAAAATACCCTCTGGTTTTGCATATAGTGTAATATAGTATAAAACCCCAATCTCTAGTAAATAAGTAATTCACTTACTATCAGGTTATATAAAGCAGACCTTTCTTCCAGTTCACTTTACAGTATATGGAATACAAAGCTGTATTCTTAACACTGAAGTGTCCCTCACTCCCCGCACTGTTAATAAAAACCCTTTCATTCACTTACCTGATTCCACTCTATAGGCACCCAGACCACTTCATCTCATTTAAGTGGTTTGGGTGCAGTGTCCCCTTAGCCCTACAATATTGCACTCCTCCTCCGCTGACATCTCCCCCGGGAACCTAATGCGCATGCGCGGCGGGCACTCCATGCACATTATGACTTTTCCATAGGATCATTGAGTCGCTTTCCCCGTTTTCTATGGGATTTTGCATGACGCTGAATGTCCTCATGCATGACATCTGTTTTACAGAGCAGGCCTTTTAACCCCTTAAGGACACATGACATGTGACATGTCATGGTTCCCTTTTATTCCAGAAGTTTGGTCCTTAAGGGGTTAAATAGGTATATTCTCTTCACAGAATATTCTAAGGTGAATTTATCTCATGCAACAAATAGTATAGTATACAATATATCTGTTTAATATGACAAAATTCACTCAAGCATATCACTACATACGGGTTTCCACATTCCTGGTGTACAGTCATTGGATATAGTTTAACTTAAAAAGATGGGATATAAAACTTAAAGAAAAAAATAAAATGAACAAAAATCCCTATGGGTTTCATCCTGGACTTCTTCAGGGTTATGTCGTTTGTAATGGATTCTCATCTCTCTGTAAATTACCTTTTAAAATCTATACTGTATGTCCACTCTGTGCTGTGCATTCCAACCTGGAAAGCGTACTAGTTCCAGTTCAATTACGGGTATTATAGAGGCTTAATAAGCCTCTAGAAACCTTTTAAACCCGGTAATGAAGGAGTTAAATAAACCATTTTGCAAACCATTTTACACAATTTTGATTGCTGAATACTTCTTTTAAATATGCCTACTAAAATAAATGTGTGACCTTGTTCTTACTTTTGAGTTTCCTTAATATTGCGCCTCAGTTCTTTATCACCTATGAACAGTTAAAGAAACTGAATCTGTAACGTTTGGGCTACATAAAGCTAGCCAAATGATTTCAAGTATCACAAAACCACCAGGCAGCTCTGCAGCTGGCTCCCTGATATCCCAATGAAACATTTGAATGTTTGGCCAGAGTACAGGTATTGGAAGGATGAAAACTAAACACACCAAAGCTGCGTGATTACTTTTTTTTGGAAGCAATACAAGTTAAAGTCCAATGCCACAACGGAGGATTTTTTATTTATTTGTGCTTATTCTCACAAGGAATCCAGGATTGTGTTAGAAGATGGAAATTAAGTGTTTTTCATAATGTATTGGTGAATGCAAGAACTATCCATTGTTGCACTGCCAAAAATAAACCTTTAAAGTATATATATATTTTTTTTACACCTGCAAAGTAAAATGGATTTTTGAATGTATGTATTTTTGGTTTTGGGTTTTTTTTTTTTTTCATCAGCCATTGGGGGGAAAATTTTTTAGAATTTTTCATTTGAATGTTTTTTTGTTTTTTCCTTCCACTGTTACATGTTTTTCAAACCTTGCAAGTGTCTAAAACCTGATTTTGAGTTACAAAGAAAATTACTAATTGTGGATTAGTATCCTCCCACACAGACACTTTGCTGATCTATATTACAGATAAAATGTATTTGCTGAGAAATTGAACATATACTAGTTCATTTTAACACTGTTAATATTTTAATGTCGAGGTTAGAGCTATGTAAGGGTAGTTCTACATAGAATTCTGCTGTTCCTACACAATCATGCAACATGTCACGCTTGTAGCCATGCAAGATTAGTAAAGCTAGCCTTCCAGACAGATGACTTGATCATTGCCATCGGTAAACTGCAACTTCAGGCAATATTAAGATTTTAAGCTTTTAACTTTTTAGAATCTAAAGAGTGTAAAACTGTTAATCAGTCTGGGGGTGGCACTGATTGGCCTCAATCCACACCCTAGGAAATCTGTGGCAGCTGTAGGAAAAGGGACAGTTGGGCAGTGGTCTCTCACAGAGGTAGTAGTCCTGCAATTAAATCATTATGGGCGAATTCCCTTGCATTAATTCCATATTAAAACACACAGGTTGTAGTGAGTCTCATAGTTTGCAAATCATGGAATGCTTTTGTATTCACTGATTAAGTGGAAGACCCCCCCCCCCACACACACACACACTTTTTGCTCCTGTTAAAGGCATACTCTATTCTTTTTGCATAAGTTCTAGTTGAAGCGGAGACCGGTCACCATGTTGCTGCACATGGTTGCTTACAGTTGCTGCAGTTCTCTAAACCCAATCCCCTTATCCAGCTTAAACATGCTGCCCTCTGCCTGTACAAGTGCTTAGGAGGGATGTGCAAGATAACAAGCCCCTACCTCCTTTCTCGCTGTTTGCATATTCAGCCCAATTCACTCAGTGTGGACAATTCCATTCACTTTTATTTTATTTTTTTACTTTTGTCAAATGCTGAACTACATATCCCATAATCAATGAGAATCAATAAGGTCTGAAAGTTACTGCAGGGAGCTGCATGTGCAGCAATCCCATTTTATAAAATGTAAATATTTCTACGTTCTTTAGATCCATGTTATTTTACCGGAATGTATAATCTATATAAGGATTTGTAAATGGGGGGGTATCTCCAGCATAGAATGTTACTTTAAAGAAGCAAAGTATTAATGCCTTTTTAATTGTTTTCTTAATGTAACTTTTAATGTAAATATGTGTACTAAAGACTTACTGGAAAACGCACTAAGCATTGAATAGTCACACTATGGAGTTTCTCAATACTGTTTTATGGTAGAGATTCCCCAACATATACGGTCCTCAACACTGCCCTTACTTTCTGGATATCCCAGGTTAAATAATCGCTTTGGTAATTGATTTCCATTGTTTGGGATTTTTTCAGAAATGTTGGGCTCCTGTGCCGTCCTTGAAACCGGTATTTGAGTAACCCTGCTCTGTAGAGGCTTGGTTTTATGCTAGATAGTTTAGCAAAAGTTTTCACTCCAACTCTCTAAATTTGCCCCTTTGTAAATTGCAGGGAGTGTGGGGGGAACATCCATAGGTCATCCATGTACTTATATATTTTGGTTTCTAATTAGAAATGTGTAGGTTGTGTTTGTTATTTAGATCTCTAAGGTTTTTGCAGTTACCTCAATTCTACAGCAATGAATCTCTTCTGGGGTGAGGCGAGATAACTGCAGTCTTTTTTTATTTTTATTTGTAGAAAATAAATCACCTCTGCTAAATGTTTATTGTATTATTTTTTTTATTGAAACATGTATTTGTTTCTGTACAATCTGCTGTTTGGACAGCTCAGTTACATTCCACCTTAGCTGCTTATATGCACAATTATTTATTGATAAAAGTGACATTTACAGTCGTTTTTAACTTGGTTGTGTGAATAACACTTGGCATTTTCCTGTCAGAGTAGTAGCGTAATTGCGATCTGTGTTGTACAGCTGCCAGGATGTGGTCACGCATTTTGCTTTTACTTGGTATCGAATGTGTTGCTCACTGCTCAGCCAGTAGTATAACATCATGGTTTATTCTTGATAGAGAAACCAGTGTGAAAAATACCGCTTTTGTTCTCAGGCTTAAAAAGAAATGTTTATCAGGAGATGATAGGTTCAGGGTTTTGCCGCACCACTGTTCCAGTTCAGGCAACTTGTATACAAATACATTTCAATAGTGGAAAGCAATTAGTATATGTGATTACATGGTATTTTCACACTGGGTGTGGGGGGGGGGTACATTCTAGTTTTTTCCACTCATATTCTACATCTACAGTTAGATGTACCTGACAAAGATTAAAATGACTTTTTTTTAAAAAGTTAAAAAATTTTTTATTTTATTTTTTTGGGGAGGTGGATATATCATGCATGTTTTTGGTTTTCTTGCTTTTTTTTCTCTGGTAAACATGAACTGATGAGATATAATGGACACAAATGGAAACAGAGTTATCTCCACTGCACTTTCAGAGAATGAGTGTGGCGATGTTTAGATGACCTCTTTCTCAAGAGAGAACAAGTCAGCCTGTATATTTTTGTATGATTTTTCGTTCTGTATTTAATATAGATTTATTTGGCCTACTTTCAAATATTCTGTAAAATAAAATGTTATTGCATATACAAAATCTGTCATGTTGGCTCCCCCTCCCCCATAGCTTTACCATAAAGCCCATGGTATTTTAGCTTGCACTACTTTGTCACAGTGTTTCTGTTTTTTTTCTTTCTTTCATTATATAAAATATTTGGTCAAATTCTGTGTGTTTTTCTGTAACTTTTTGTTTTTTTTTGGTTTACTTTAGCCCTCTACCAAGTTGTATAAAGGTGACAAACTCTTGTTTGACTCCATACCATGGTGTGTGCGTACCTACTATGTGTATGGAATATTTGGTGGCAGGGTGTAATGCGTGAGTCAGAGTGCAGGCTGCAAATCCTGGCGAATTTACTCTGACTCATTAATGAGTTACGGATCACAAGTGCGTTATTGCTGAAGTCGGCACCCATCTGAGTTGCAGACCACAAGGACCCTGCTGATTGCTGCGGCAAGGCCAAATGCAGAGAAAGCTGCCTGCCCAGCGCCCGGAACTGCATGTTCCTGGCATGTGTCCTAAGAAACCTGCATCCCTGATACACAATTCCTTAGTGGCTCTAGTACATGCACACAGTCGAAAAAAACAGAAGGGCTGCGCCAAGAGATAGATAATAATAGTATATACAATAGTCCTAAGACATTATAATTAGTATAGTCTCACTAACTCAGTGGGACTAAAGTTCTAATAAAATCACCAAAAGATGAGAGAATCAAAAAAATAGAATAAAAGCCAAAAACATGTAAATGTCTTTATGGAGTGCTGGTTTTTGGGTGTAGTGTCCTCAACTGCTTAATTTGTTCAGCTTCATTTAAAAAAGCTATATCCAGCTTGGTTGTGAAGAGCGTACAGCAGTATAATCCCCGCTTAACCCCTTAAGGACACATGCCATGTGTGACATGTCATGATTCCATTTTATTCCAGAAGTTTGGTCCTTAAGGGGTTAAAGGATGTGTGATAGGAGTCCTCCAGAGTGGTGATATCTAACACTCAGGAGATGAAAAAAATAAGACAACTAATCATGCTCTAAGTAAAATAAAAATGCAATAAACATAAGTAAAATTGTACTCACAAGTGGAGTGCAGGCAAACTGCACTATGGTATCAATGTGGGTTGTATGATTCCCACCTCAGAATATACTTGGAGTCACATGTAGATAAAAGTAGGCTAGGCAAAAATTTCCAAAAATAAAAATGTGCAATTAAAAGGATGATTGGCACAATCTTGTAACCAAAAAAACTTTTTATTAAGAAAATTACACAATTAAAATAACCATAACGCGTTTTGCCACTAGGGCTTTTTCAAATGGGATAAAATTTTAAACCTGGCTATTCTGAGTGTACATATGTGTGTGTATATATGTAAAACATGAAAGAAAGGCATACTGAAGGGATTCTGAGTGTAACTGATTTCAACACTAGTGAAAATGTAAAAAACCGAAGCGTCTGTCTAGTAACGATGAAGCTATTTTTTTATTGAAAACACAGAAATACACAAACTATTCACATTGCATCTTGGGAAATATAGTCTGCTATTGACATTTTTAACCTAAAAACACAAATAATTTGCTTTGCATAATGGGGGCTGTAGTCTGTAGTCCTGCTATTAACATTTTTTTTGAACACATAAAGCAAAAGAACAGCTACTTGGATATAATTGATGTAGGGGAAGGACAAATAGAAATATGAGAATTTTGCAAGTGACACATCAATAGTAACCCCTTAAGAACGGCGGGCGTTCTATGCCATCCTTAAGGAACCGGCTCTAAACGCTGGAGGGCGGCATAGAACGTCCCTGCCATCCTATGCACTTACCCGGTCGCCGGCGATCGCAGAATGGGAACTTACCTGGGAGCCCAGGGAGTCCCCCTCTGTCCTCTTCGCCCCTATGGGCCATGTGATCACGAGGACCTCACGATCACATGGATGGC